TGGTGGTTAAATGGTGGTTAAATGGTAGTTAAATGGAGGTTAAATGGTGGTTAAATGGTGTTTAAATGGTGGTTAAATGGTAGTTAAATGGAGGTTAAATGGTGGTTAAATGGTGGTTAAATGGTGGTTAAATGGTAGTTAAATGGAGGTTAAATGGTGGTTAAATGGTGTTTAAATGGTGGTTAAATGGTGGTTAAATGGTAGTTAAATGGAGGTTAAATGGTGGTTAAATGGTGGTTAAATGGTGGTTAAATGGTGGTTAAATGGTGGTCAAATGGTGATCAAATGGTGATCAAATGGTGGTTAAATGGTTAAATGGCGGTTAAATGGAGGTGTAATTATGGTAACTAGGTAGTGAAATTGTGTTAAAATGGTAGTAAAATTATGGTAAAATGGTGGTGTAACGGTGATAAATGGTGGTGTAAATATCGTTAAAGGTGCTGTCATGGTGGTAAAATTGTGGTGTTACTGTGGTAAAATTATGGTGGAATTATGTAATTATGGTACTAAAATAGTGGTGTAATTGTGGTAACATGGTGGTGTATTGGTGGTAAAAGTTTTTGTAATGGTGGTAAAAAGGTGGGTTTAATAGGGTAAAAAGGGTGGTGTAATGGTGGTACAAAAAGGTGGTTTAATAGGGTAAAAAAGGTTGTGTAATGGTGGTAAAAGGTGGTGTAATTGTGGTACAAATAGGTTGTGTAATTGTGGTAAAAAAGGTGGTTTAATAGGGTAAAAAAAAGTGGTGTAATGGTGGTAAAAGGTGGTGTAATTGTAGTACAAAAAGGTGGTGTAATTGTGGTAAAAAAGGTGGTTTAATAGGGTAAAAAAAGTGGTGTAATGGTGGTAAAAGGTGGTGTAATTGTGGTAAAACGACGAGAAGACATTATCAAGAGGGTTGTTATAACAGTTTCATATAGCGAGAATAAAGGTGGTTTAATAGTGGTTTTGTTGGTATAATTATGTGATATAAGTATACAACAGGTCAGCTCTGACTGTCACAACTAGAGGGATGTTTGTTTGTTTGGTTGTGTGTTTAGAGTTAGACCATCTCGATGTAACAGTGTTGTATGTTTGGTTGGTTGGTTGCGTGTTTAGACCAGCTTGATGTAACAGTGTTGTGTGTGTGTGTTGTGTGTATTTTTATAGCAATGTGTGTATGTGCGTGTGTGATTGTATGTGTAGTATGTGGGTATGCTGATTTGTGTGCATGTTATTGAAATGTTTACTAACGTATGTGTGTCAGTAATATGTCGGTGTGTACATGCGCATGTGTGACTGTGAATGTATATAAATGTTTATAAGTATGTGTATGTGTGTTTGTCTGTAGGGTATATGCATATTTTGGAATGTACTTGACAATGTGTGTATGCAAATATGTTCTATGTGTGTATAAATCAATGTTTATATGTGTGTATGTAAGTGTGTACATGTTGAGATAAATGACCCGTCACGCTTCACTGAACGCGTGCAGTGGAGAAAGCTGGGGACGTGTTGGTCACGTGAGCTGTGGGTAGTGCAGAAATGGTGGAGTGTTGGAAGCTAGAGGGTTAATGGTGGGGTGTGGAGGGTTAATGGTGGGAGCTACAGAGTTAATGGTGGGGTGTGTAGGGTTAATGGTCTGATGTGTAGGGTTAATGTTAGGTGGTAGTCTGTGAAGGGTTAATGGTCTGATGTGTAGGTTTAATGGTGGGGTGTGTAGGGTTAATGGTCTGATGTGTAGGGTTAATGTTAGGTGGTAGTCTGTGAAGGGTTAATGGTCTGATGTGTAGGTTTAATGGTGGGGTGTGTAGGGTTAATGGTCTGATGTGTAGTGTTAATGGTCTGATGTGTAGGTTTAATGGTGTGAGCTAGAGGGTTAGTGGTAGGAGCTAAAGGGTTAATGGTCGGATGTGTAGGGATAATGATGTGACCTAGAGCGTTAATGGTCGAATGGGCAGGGATAATGTTTTAAGGTCATCCGCTGAGTGTTAAAAACTGATGGGTTGCACTAGTTGACCCTGAAGTCACTCATGTGGACAATGTAACGAGGTGTGAATTAGAACACACATTCTACTGTCGGCAGCTAGACTAACATAAAGATTAAAATATGTTCTGGCAACTTGAGCTACCGTCATATTTAAGTAAAGAAAAATTGTGGTCCGTGGTTTAAGAAAACTAAAGTTTTTAGTTATGTGTCAACTAAGGTGTCATGTGTCATGAGCGATGGCGGGAAAATATGATGTGTGAACTAATATAAATAATTTTGTTTAAGTGACAATATTTTCTAACCTATTTAGAAATTATTTTTTGCACAATTTTCTGGTCACTGCGCAAAGGGAAGTAATAAATAAAATATTTCAGGATGTGTTTTTATCTGTGGTTGTCTTTCTTGGCAAAACTATCCTATGAGCTCTGCAGGTTTCGATACGCGGGTCTGATGATATTCAGATGTAACTTTCTGGTAATATTTAACTGCACAATTCAAACGAAGCTTTAACTTCAACTTAAAACACAGAAAAATGTTTTATTTATAACTTTATTCAAAACATATGCATTTTTAGGTAATATTTGTTCAATAAATTTCTCTTCGTCGGTACCTATCGAAGACCAAAGTTTTAAATGCAATGCATTGTAGCTTGTAGTACATTTTTATTTTTCATCAAACCAAAAAGTAGTCCCTAGAGTTTGACGTTTCTAGTATTTTTGAAATTCAAACATCGGGTCAAATGTTTTAAAAAGTTAGACTTTTACAGCCGGTTAACTGTGTAAACTGTGTTGTCAAATGTTACTTTGTTACTTCTGTAGTTTTAGTACTACGATGTTTAGTTTGTGGTGTTTGTTCCGTATGATCAAATCTCGGACAAGATGTCCAAAGCAACGAGCCGGAATATTCCGGCTAGAAACATAATTTAACAACACTGCATCATTAAGATCAACGGTCATCTGACAGTAACCGTCACTTTGTGTTATGACAGTCACCGGAACTCAGTCATTATTCAATAACCGTAACCAGTGGCGTAGCAAGGGGGGGTGCGGGGGGTGCGGACCGCACTGGGTAACACCATTTAGGGCAAAAAATAGCAAAATATATAGAGAAAAATAATAATTTCACTTAATTAATTGATTGATTCGAGTGTTAAAAAGCTTTTTAAGAGCAAATTTGACAAATCCCGACAAGGGTGGAGGGGGAAGGGTGCAAATCGAAATTTGAGAGGGGGGTGCAAATCAAAAGTTTGAGGGGGGTGCAAATCGAAAATTGAAAGCTTGTTCCTGGGCGCCGGTACGCTTCTGGGGGTGACACCATTAATTGCCGCACCGGGTGACACCCGAGCTCGCTACGCCACTGGACCGTAACTCTGTCATTATTCAATAACCGTAACTGTATCATTGGACAGTAGTCGTAACGGCTTCATTCAGTACAAACCGTAACGATTTCTTGAGACAGTAACAGTAACTCTGCCACTGAGCAGTGACGATGACCGTAACAAATGAAATAACAAATGACCACTCCCTGAATAAAAGCTACAACCAAATGTGTTTTACTCCTCCATGCCCCTCCCCTTTCCCTATCACTGTTTTCTATTATTCTAGGTTCATTTCGTCAGTGATTCTCAAATTCATGTTAATGACAACCTAGGGTTATGTCCCTTGTTCAGTAAAAAACAAAACAAAATCTGTTATTTTATCTTTGTTTAGAATAAAATTGTAAAGAATTTAACGATGGAGGATCGCTTTCTTAGCTGACACACGCACACACAAAATTGATTTTTTTTTCGACCCCGGATTATTCAGTTAAATATTTGAGCACCGCTGGCTCAGCTGACAATGAAACAAATGACCCAGGTCAAAGAGTGACCTAATTACTTGACCTACCTGTGTCAACTCTAGGCGGGGACTCCACCAAAAAATTCCAACATAATTAGTTACATCGCGCATGCGTAGCAAGTGGCCAGACAACTAGTGCATTAAACAATTTAACACAATTCTCATTAGGTTGTCAACCTTATGTGTATGTAGTTGTTTGAATACTAGAGTTAGACACCGCTCATTTTCTGTGTGACTTGGTGCTGTAAAACAAAAAACGCTATGCCTGTCTTATTCTGACCAGTTCGGTAAATTAAGGTTGTCCAAAGCACGCCACGACCATGAGCGCCTTGACCACTCAACACACGTGACCACACTACACACATGTGTAACAACTCCTTTTAATCCGGATAATCGTGTCGCGCTAATCCGAAATCCTGGTGAAGTCTTTAGTGCGACCCTTACGTTTCTTGAATAACACCCCCCCCCCCCTCTTTAACATAACCACTACGCCACCACAACCCCCACCCCAACACATTCGCAGCCTTCCTCCTCCCCCCCCCCCCCCCCCCCCACCAGACAAGGCTGTAACAACTGTCAACATCTTGAGACCCACTGGTTCCCATTTTTTTTTTCTTGTGCTACAACGGTTCTCAAAAAGATTTGTTTAACACCATGTGTTACCTACACACAACACCCTCTCCCACACAACACCCTCTCCCACACAGCACCCTCTCCCACACAGCACCCTCTCCCACACAGCACCCTCTCCCACACAGCACCCTCTCCCACACAACACCCTCTCCCACACAGCACCCTCTCCCACACAGCACCCTCTCCCACACAGCACCCTCTCCCACACAGCACCCTCTCCCACACAACGCCCTCTCCTCCCACTTCCCACCCCCTCACGTAAACAACCAACAAGCAAACAGAATCTAATTCCCAGTCACATGTGACAAAAATCAAACACTGACCTTCTCGCGACCTTGTCCACTAACTTCCGGATAGTTTCTGCCATCTGACCCCTGTAATGATCCCGACCCCTGTTCTCTAATCCCACCCACGGGTCATGACCCCTGGTTTTAGATCCCCTCCCCCTAACCCCCACCTCAGTAAATACCTCCTGTAATGCGGACTAGTGAAGCTACCTGTACCTGAGACTTGTGTGGCCAGATTTTTCCCCAACCGTCTTGGTACGCTGACTTGCCTGGTGAGGTTCCCAAGATGGCGTCGGCCATGAAACTCAGTGCTGCGGTGCCATGAAAACACGTCGTGATGGAACCCTGGATTTACTACCTACCTGTTTAACACCTGGATTCGTTACCCGGACACGCATACATACGCGCATACAACTGGAAAACTAGGATACATTCAGCTGTGTTGTTGCAGTTTTTTTCAGTTGTGACAAACAAGTTCTGTAGTGTAAAAATAAGTTGGCATAATCCCTCTAATTTAACGAAGTTTTTTTATGATTTTCATGAAGATTAAGGTGACTTCACACCATACAACAATGTGTTGTTGTCCGTGCGATAGGCTCTTATTCAAGGGAAGCAACTTGACATCAGTAGAAGAACAAGACGCTTTGACAACTGATTAATATTTTTTCAGATTTTGTTTTTGGTAAAAAAAATAATTTCTAACTAGTTTTGGCGAGTTTTAGAAGTGGACAAAAAGTGATGACGTCATATGTGTACCGCCTCAATGAGTGACCCCCAAATGGCTGTGGTTTTAATTAATTGATTCTGTTCGTCGCGCGGGTCGCCCAATGACGTAAGTCGGTGATTAATAAGACAATACAATCAAATTTTTTAATTGCAGTTGAACATTTTAGAAAAAAAAAAGTTTAGTTGCTGACTGCAGGGGTCAAGAAAAACATTAGCCGCTGGCTGGAGCATACAATTTATTTGTGTAGTTTTTACAACACTTGCAAGAAGCGCTGGGCCGTACCTCTGTGCCGATAAGGATGTTTACAAGCCTCGGGAATTTCCGATGATACGGTCACATGACCGTCTCGCCCCGCTGGAGGAGACCGACAGTTCGTCGTCTGCTTCAAGCTCGGGGAACTCAGGGACTCAGTCCGCGCCTGGTTCCCGTCCTAACGGTACACCTGGCGACCAGCAGACGACCATGACTTCCGATTTGTCCAGGAACCATAGCAGCTACACCGGGTTGAGTACTTCCGGTTCCGGCAACGCCATGAGACCAAACAACAGCAGCCACAATTTCACAAACAGCGGGAACCATTCCGGAAATATTTTTCCGTTGACTAAACCGGATTCGATCCCGCATACATCCATTGTCTCATCTTCCTTGCCGGCTCCGACGTCCCCGCTTTGTCCGGAGACGGCTCCGCTTTTGCCGGCCTCCCCTCCGGCTAGTCCGGACAATGCGGAAGTCGTGAAAATGAAACAGGAAATCGATGCGATGGTGGCCAAAAACATGAGCACACCCCACTCGTCCCTGCCGGACTTCAACACGCTCAAGTCGGCCATGAAACACGACGACCCGAAGAAAGGGAAGCGGAAGTTGAGTCTGCTGAACACGGTCATGCGCCGAGTGAGCATACACCGGAGGGAGTCCACCCCGGCTGGGAGGATCGCCACTTTCTTTTTCGGGGCCACGGAGGATGCGATGAAGGAGGAAGAGAGCGGGGAGGAATCGAAAAATGAGGACACTAGAGGTAGGGTATCACGTGACACGACTAGAGGTAGGTTATCACGTGACCTAGGCTGTCACGTGACCGACTTTTTTACGGTCATCATGGTAAATATGTCAGCCTCGCTTTCGTTTATTTTCAAAGTTTCGTGGTCATTTCAATAATATATACTTTAATTAGTTTTATTTTGCAAATTAAGCAACGATATTTGTCTTATAATTAAATGGCTGCTTAGTCTTTGTTGTATGTATGCCATTGAAAGTTTATTTGAATTATTCTTCTTCTTCGTTCTTAATTGTAATGTTGGAGGTGTCAATTTGTTATTCGCCATATGGCCCATTGACTCCAATTTCAGCCTGCTTTTCTTTCTTGATTGCTGTCATAGCAATCAAAAACAAACAACACAGCAGTTGTTTGATTTTGGAGTTGTCTCTCCTAGATGGGATGCTGTCCCCAGCTATCGAGCCTCATCTGTCCGGGGGTTCAACCATGAGATTTACGCGGCCCCCACCCCAATTCTATTTGCCTGCTACCCTTGTTACACTAGAGCAGATGATGATTCGTTACATTTGTCATCACTTTGTTACAATATACTTACATTTGATGTAACATTTGTTACAATATTGTTAATTTTTTTTAAAATATAAAATATTCCTTGTACCACGTACAAATGTCCATCAATAAAATATCTATCTATGAATGTATTATAGGGATGGAAATATAACATGGTAGAAATTCGATAACAAACTCCATTTTACAAAAACCAATTTAGGCTACCAATTTACTTTGTTCAAACAGAAGTAAAAAAAAAGGTTTTAATCAAGTTTTTGAATGGTAGTAATGAAGTTTAAAATCCCATGCTAAAGAAAGGGGAGGTTAATGTAAGAAAACTAGGGGAGATAATTATCTTTTAGGGGAAGTAATACAATAGAAGTTTAAATAGGATCGATACTTTTCTTAAAGAAGTTTGTAGTCAATTAACTTGTAAGTAATTAATGAATACAATGTAACCCACTTCACTTCATTATTATAATACATTACTGCATAATCTTCGAGTAAATATATTTTTAAGCTCATTTATTGGGAGGCAATAAACATTTAGGGGAAGTAATTCAGCATTGCCAAACCACATTTGTGCAACAAATAAATCTTTTATAATCTCCTATGAAAGTTAGATAAAATAAATTGTTTTCAAGTTATAAATGGGTTGTATATAGACAGCAACAACTAGTTATGTTTCGACAAAAGTTAAAAATACTTTTTGAATAATGATGCGTTACTACACTATATATATGTATTTATTTCTCGATAATTTTTCCTAGGAATTCGATGCCTATTTTTTTGTTCAGGCACCGGCTATTTTCGTCACTTATTCTGTAGACATAAACTTTGTCGTCTGTTCCTGTTTGATGTGGGTGTACGCTGTGTTTGATGTTTTGTGTAGAATTCCTAACGTCTGGGTTTCTTCACTGCTCGTCTGGTTAGGTCCTGGCTTCGTGTGCCTGGGGCTGAGCCTAGGGATGTGGGTACCCGTAGCCTAGAGATGTGGGTATCCGTAGCCTAGAGATGTGGGTACCCGTAGTCTAGAGATGTGGGTACCCGTAGCCTAGAGATGTGGGTATCCGTAGCCTAGAGATGTGGGTACCCGTAGCTTAGAGATGTGGGTACCCGTAGCCTAGATATGTGGGTATCCGTAACCTAGAGATGTGGGTACCCGTTGTCTCGAGATGTGGGTACCCGTAGCCTAGAGATGTGGGTACCCGTAGCCTAGAGATGTGGGTATCCGTAGCCTAGAGATGTGGGTACCCGTAGCCTAGAGATGTGGGTACCCGAAGCCTAGATATGTGGGTACCCGTAACCTAGAGATGTGGGTACCCGTAGCTTAGAGATGTGGGTACCCGTAGCCTAGAGATGTGGGTATCCGTAGCCTAGAGATGTGGGTACCCGTAGCCTAGAGATGTGGGTACCCGTAGCCTAGAGATGTGGGTATCCGTAGCCTAGAGATGTGGGTACCCGTAGCCTAGAGATGTGGGTACCCGAAGCCTAGATATGTGGGTACCCGTAACCTAGAGATGTGGGTACCAGTAGCCTAGAGATGTGGGTACCCATAGTCTAGAGATGTGTGTACCCGTAGCCTAGAGATGTGGCTACCCGTAGTCTAGAGATGTGGGTACCCGTTGTCTCGAGATGTGGGTACCCGTAGCCTAGAGATGTGGGTACCCGTAGCCTAGAGATGTGGGTATCCGTAGCCTAGAGATGTGGGTACCCGTACCCTAGATATGTGGGTACCCGTAGCCTAGAGATGTGGGTACCCATAGTCTAGAGATGTGGGTACCCGTTGTCTCGAGATGTGGGTACCCGTAGCCTAGAGATGTGGGTACCCGTAACCTAGAGATGTGGGTATCCGTAGCCTAGAGATGTGGGTACCCGTAGCTTAGAGATGTGGGTACCAATAGCCTAGAGATCCAGCCCTTCCCCCCCCCCCCCCCCTCATCTTGAGCAATTAAGCTGATTCACAATACAGTAATTTTAACCATACCAAAGGCATACAAATGTCTGTGTGTGTATGTGTGCGTGTGTGTGTGTTTTGAAACGACTGTGGCGCACTAAGGATTATTGGCGTAGGGTCTGGGGCTGGGAAAATGCGACGTTGTGGATTTTATTCACTGATGATTAGTTCATGTGTCCCACGGTGATTTAAGAAATTTGTTGGTGACACTATGGTGACTTATAGTAGTTTAATGGTGACAAAATGGGGACTTTGAGTAGGTTGTTGGTGATACAGTGGTGACTTATAGTAGTTTGTTGGTGACACTATGGTGCCTGGTGACACAGTATTACATTATTGTTCAACCTGACTTGGCATGATTTTATAGTTCACATCTCCCACCTGTATCACCTCCCATCATCAACGACAAATTCGTCTTCGATATTTTGTCTGATTTGATGTTTTATCTGATTTCCTTTTTATGTACATGTTTTATTAAAACCTCGTACCCAGGGGACGGTAAACTTTCTTCGGGGGGGGGGGGGCGGACACTGTTAAAAGTATATATTTTCTATATAAATTATATAAATTTCATTTCGTTCGGGGAGGGGGCGGTAGAAATGCCCCCCCCCCCTACCCCGAAGAGATGCCTGGAAGATACTATGCTCGTACCATCAAGTAGATCTGGCCTAACACTGTACATACGGTCTGCGGTCGGCAGGCAAATTTATACAAATTAGATTTTTGAAAGCTTTAAATTACATTTATTTATCTACTTGTGCAAGTGTTAATTCATGCCCTAATTAAAGCCTGATTGCTAATTAAATTTTTGTCCTCTGACCAGATACAGACAAGTCACATGACAACGGTCACTTTCATGGGGAGAAGTCGCCAGTCGAGAAAAGAAGGGCTCAGGTGGCTGTTCTCAAGTAGGTGGATGGGGGGGGGGGGGTTGTGGGTTGGTTTGTCGCTTGAGTTGCTTAAATTGGTAGGGGTTTGTGGGTTGGTGTTGTTTGTGGGTGGGGTTAGTGGGGTTTTCGGATTTGTAGGGTTGGTGGCTTGAGTTGGTGGGGTTCGGTTCGAGGGTTGGGTTTGTAAGGGTTAGGTTGGGGTCGTTGTTGGGTTCGTTGGGGTCGGTGTGAAATGGATGGGGTTAAGGTTAGGGATTAGTGGGGTTGGAACTGACGGGATCTGTGGGGTTGGCTTTATAGGGTTGGAATCGGCATGATTTGACATCTCAATAAATAAAACATTCACCAAACTTTTTCCTCAGAGAAAATCTTTTCCTCATTCTCACTGGCCTATACGGTATCGTAATCGTCATATTAGGAGCTGTGATACCTCTGACGGATATTTTTATGACGAATACCTACCATGCAGCATTCGAGGTAGGATTTTGTTTTCATTTCTATAAAAAAAAAATATTTATTAAAAACTTTTTTAAAATCATCCTAGCCTGGCGAAGTGCGCATGTCAACTGAAACGTTTTATCCAATCGAATTTTGATCTAACTATCACATGATTCGTCTCTGCAGGTGTTCTATATTTATCTCTACGTAGTCAGCATTGTCTTTCTCGTCTACGTCTACGCCTACCTACTACGGCGCAACCGTCTGAAGACCGAGTTCCTGACCCGGACCCTATCTAGGTCGATGTCATGGACGCGGTCCTGGGCCAAGTCATGGGCCAAGGCTGACGAGTCAGCCAAGAGCAAGCTGAGGAAGAGGATGATCTCACTTGATATGGCCAACCATCACACAGGGACCTTTTACCTCAGGCTGGGGGTGCTAGGTAGGGAGGAATGGGGAGTCGCGGGGAGGGGCGTAGCGGGTAGCTCATGCAGTTAATATTGAGCCGTAGAACCGGTTGGTGACCTAGTTACCAGCCCTATTGTTTGATTGGTTGGAGAGTGCTTTGTTGGTAAGGAAATGTTAAGTTTATTCAGAATTCTCTATGGGTTAAGGGAATACTAGCTTATCAATTTACAATTTGGGGATTTCTTGCATGGGGAATACTAATTTGGTGAAGTTTAGTTAAAGATGATTGTTTGGTAATTGCTTGACTGGAGAATGATGTAGGGCAGGGGTCTCCAAACTACGGCCCGCGGGCCGGATGCGGCCCGCGAGGTCCTCTTATCTGGCCCGCGGAGATCTTTTTGTCCACGGAAAAAACGTTTGTTGGTGATGGCTGAGGAACTTTGCCCAGAAAAATCAAAGACATGCCTGGAAGAAACTGGCCCCCGAACTGAAATTTGATACTTAATGCGGCCCTCGGGCTGAAAAGTTTGGAGACCCCTGATGTAGGGGAATGGATTTCATGGTACCTATCGAAATTAGAAGCTTATTTTTAAAGATCAAATAAGTATAAAGGAATACTTTGATGATGATGTTCAAAGGGTATCATAATAACAGTAATATATAAGTTGTCTTTTTTAATACATTTTAATACATTTGTTATAAGTAAACTCTACAACCACCCCCACCCCCAGGGTTCGGCATCGGCTCCATGATCCACAGCGGCCTGACTTTTGGCTCCTACTTTGCTGGGGGTGATGACGAGTCTTGTACTGAGAGCGCCCTAAAGGCCATCGAGCCTTTGTTCCACCTGGTCTTCACCTTCTTCCAACTCTACTTCATCTTCATGAACTCCAAGGTAAGTCTGCCCACAACAAGTCTCACCTTGACTAGTCCACAACATGTCTCACCTTGACTAGTCCACAACATGTCTCACCTTGACTTGTCCACAACATGTCTCACCTTGACTAGTCCACAACAAGTCTCACCTTTAAAAGTCCACAACAAGTCTCACCTTGACTAGTCCACAACAAGTCTCACCTTGACTTGTCCACAACAAGTCTCACCTTGACTAGTCCACAACAAGTCTCACCTTGACTAGTCCACAACAAGTCTCACCTTTAAAAGTCCACAACAAGTCTCACCTTGACTAGTCCACAACAAGTCTCACCTTGACTAGTCCACAACAAGTCTCACCTTGACTAGTCCACAACAAGTCTCACCTTGACTAGTCCACAACAAGTCTCACCTTGACTAGTCCACAACAAGTCTCACCTTGACTAGTCCACAACAAGTCTCACCTTGACAAGTCCACAACAAGTCTCACCTTGACTAGTCCACAACAAGTCTCACCTTTAAAAGTCCACAACAAGTCTCACCTTGACTAGTCCACAACAAGTCTCACCTTGACTAGTCCACAACAAGTCTCACCTTTAAAAGTCCTTAACAAGTCTCACCTTGACTAGTCCACAACAAGTCTCACCTTTAAAAGTCCACAACAAGTCTCACCTTGACTAGTCCACAACAAGTCTCACCTTGACTAGTCCACAACAAGTCTCACCTTGACTAGTCCACAACAAGTCTCACCTTTAAAAGTCCACAACAAGTCTCACCTTGATTAGTCCACAACAAGTCTCACCTTGACTAGTCCACAACAAGTCTCACCTTGACTAGTCCACAACAAGTCTCACCTTGACTAGTCCACAACAAGTCTCACCTTGACTAGTCCACAACAAGTCTCACCTTGACTAGTCCACAACAAGTCTCACCTTGACTAGTCCACAACAAGTCTCACCTTTAAAAGTCCACAACAAGTCTCACCTTGACTAGTCCACAACAAGTCTCACCTTGACTAGTCCACAACAAGTCTCACCTTGACTAGTCCACAACAAGTGTCACCTTGACTAGTCCACAACAAGTCTCACCTTGACTAGTCCACAACAAGTCTCACCTTGACTAGTCCACAACAAGTCTCACCTTGACTAGTCCACAACAAGTCTCACCTTGACTAGTCCACAACAAGTCTCACCTTGACTAGTCCACAACAAGTCTCACCTTGACTAGTCCACAACAAGTCTCACTTAGATACCAACATGGCCACAATTATCTACGCTATGAGCTACGTCTTTCTTGCAGTCATCTTTACAAACTTGCCTCCCCTTGCCTAACTGGTCTCCTTTTGTACGTATTTCATTCCCTGCCCTTTTGCTGACTCGCCTCCCCTTGTACTTATTTCCTACCTTGCTTAACTTCCTTTGCACCTTCTATGCACCTTGCCTAAACTGCCTCCGCTTGTACGCATACCCTCCCCTTCGTCTTGCCTAACGTGTCTCCTTTGTACAATGTTGTCTGCCCTGCACCTTGTCTTATTTGTCTCCCCTGTACTTATTCCCTCCCCTGCACCTTACCTTACTTGTCTCCTCTTGCACAATGTTGTCTTTCCTTTTACAAATTCCCTCCCCTGCACCTTGCCTAACTTATCTCCCTTGTCCCAGATGTGCATCCACCGGTACAAGACGCTGGGCAGGTTCGGGCTGATGCACATGTGCGCCACCAACATCTGCGTGTGGTTCAGCAGCATCGTGGTGGAGACCCTCCACGTCATCCACGAGCACGAGCACCACAGCCACGCCCAGCACGCGGCGGATCACGCCACGGATCACGTCACGGATCACGCCACGGATCATGCCACAGATCACGGAGCGAGTCACGGCGACATCGGCCACAAGCCGGTTCATTACGCCGTGAACACGACCGTGAAGGCCGGCCGGAAGTTGTTGGCTGGTGAGTTCAACTTTTTTTATCTGGCATGTGAAATGTTGACCAGTAAACTAGCCAGATTTTTGTCTCCTATGTGAAATGTTGACCAGTAAACTAGCCAGATTTTTGTCTCCTATGTGAAATGTTGACCAGTAAACTAGCCAGATTTTTGTCTCCTATGTGAAATGTTGACTAGTAAAGTGGCCAGATTTTTGTCTCCCATGTGATATGTTGTCCAATGAAGTAGCTAGATTTTTGTCTCCCATGTGAAATGTTGACCAGTAAAGTAGCCAGATGTTTGTCTCCCATGTGAAATGTTGACCAGTAAATTAGCCAGATTTTTGTCTCCCATGTGAAATGTTGACCAGTAAATTAGCCAGATGTTTGTCTCCCATGTAAAATGTTGACCAGTAAAGTAGCCAGATTTTTGTCTCCCATGTGAAATGTTGGCCAGTAAATTACCCAGATTTTTGTCTTCCATGTGAAATGTTGACTAGCTACATTGCAGATTTGTGTATCTAATGATGGGTGGGGGCGTCAAACTATTTTAAAACTCAACAAATCCTCACCCAAGCCGCTTTGCATCAACACATAAACCAAACCATTTCAGATTCACAACAAAAATACATTAATTTCCCCAGTTACACCTGGCTATTGTTAATGTAGCAGTAAAATGTGACACCAAATTTAAGTCTGTGAAATGAATTCATTTGTATCTTAATCCATAAATTAGGGACCTATTTTTTCTGTAACGTCATAAAACTTTACTAGCTGTCAAATTCATTTGTATAAAACCAAATTGCAAAATGTTAGGAGTGCTAAATTCTTTTGACCCCCCCCCCACCACCACTACCACCACCACCACCACCACCACTACCACCACCACCAATTTTTCCCTATTTATTTCAATCGGAACAATACAAGTGTTCGATCAATTTATAAGATTAGTTCAGTGGGATCAAAAACAGTGGCGTAGGCAATGAGGACGTTTGGTGGAGTGGGAGGGGTTAAAACCGTCACGAATACTCAAAATATCTCATCCACTTTATAGCTAAAAGACAAATCGAAACATAGCCGTTGTGGCGCTTTTGATGCATTTCATTTTCAATTTTCAATGTGTTAAAAGCAGTTTTATGTTATAACCCATCCCCTTGACCCCTAAGTTTTCGATATAACCCATCACCTTGACCTTTTAGTTTTCGATATAACCCATCACCTTGACCCCTAAGTTTTCGATATAACCCATCATCTTGACCCTTTCTCGTCCTCTCCTCCCCAGCGGTCGCCGCCTCTGCAGCTGCCCACGACGCCAACGACACCGACCCCTGCAGGTGGTCGGGCATGATGAACCAGGCAGTGGAGGCAGCCGGACCTTACCTGTACCCGTGTACCATCGAGTACAGTCTCATGTGCGCAGGTAGGTCAGTGTGACCCTGTACCATCGAGTACAGTCTCATGTGCGCAGGTAGGTCGGTGTGACCCTGTACCATCGAGTACAGCCTCATGTGCGCAGGTAGGTCAGTGTGACCCTGTACCATCGAGTACAGTCTCATGTGCGCAGGTAGGTCAGTGTGACCCTGTACCATCGAGTACAGCCTCATGTGCGCAGGTAGGTCAGTGTGACCCTGTACCATCGAGTACAGTCTCATGTGCGCAGGTAGGTCAGTGTGACCATGTACCATCGAGTACAGTCTCATGTGCGCAGGTAGGTCAGTGTGACCCTGTACCATCGAGTACAGTCTCATGTGCGCAGGTAGGTCAGTGTGACCCTGTACCATCGAGTACAGTCTCATGTGCGCAGGTAGGTCAGTGTGACCCTGTACCATCGAGTACAGTCTCATGTGCGCAGGTAGGTCAGTGTGACCCTGTACCATCGAGTACAGTCTCATGTGCGCAGGTAGGTCAGCGTGACCCTGTACCATCGAGTACAGTCTCATGTGCGCAGGTAGGTCAGTGTGACCTTGTACCATCGAGTACAGTCTCGTGTGCGCAGGTAGGTCAGTGTGACCTTGTACCATCGAGTACAGTCTCATGTGCGCAGGTAGGTCAGTGTGACCCTGTACCATCGAGTACAGTCTCATGTGCGCAGGTAGGTCAGTGTGACCCTGTACCATCGAGTACAGTCTCATGTGCGCAGGTAGGTCAGTGTGACCCTGTACCATCGAGTACAGTCTCATGTGCGCAGGTAGGTCAGTGTGACCATGTACCATCGAGTACAGTCTCATGTGCGCAGGTAGGTCAGTGTGACCCTGTACCATCGAGTACAGTCTCATGTGCGCAGGTAGGTCAGTGTGACCCTGTACCATCGAGTACAGTCTCATGTGCGCAGGTAGGTCAGTGTGACCCTGTACCATCGAGTACAGTCTCATGTGCGCAGGTAGGTCAGTGTGACCCTGTACCATCGAGTACAGTCTCATGTGCGCAGGTAGGTCAGCGTGACCCTGTACCATCGAGTACAGTCTCATGTGCGCAGGTAGGTCAGTGTGACCTTGTACCATCGAGTACAGTCTCGTGTGCGCAGGTAGGTCAGTGTGACCTTGTACCATCGAGTACAGTCTCATGTGCGCAGGTAGGTCAGTGTGACCCTGTACCATCGAGTACAGTCTCATGTGCGTAGGTAGGTCAGTGTGACCCTGTACCATCGAGTACAGTCTCATGTGCGCAGGTAGGTCAGTGTGACCCTGTACCATCGAGTACAGCCTCATGTGCGCAGGTAGGTGACGTTGTACCGTGCTGGGTCACTGTGACACGGTATTAGGTTAACATACCCCTGTACCATTGAGTACAGCCTTATGTGCGCCGTACTCTCTACACACACCGTTGAAACTTAACACAAACATTATCGACCCTGCACTTAACATGTCTACCCCCCACCCCCCACTCCCCCACCCCCAGGCATCCTGTACATCATGTGGAAGAACGTGGGCAACAAACCCCGCCGCCCCCGCCAGTCCGAGCTGGAGGAAGACGACGACGAACAGCGGCTGCACAGGATGAGTGTGGACTGCACGAGCAGCAGCCGAGGGCTGTTCCTGGGCATCCTGCTCATGGTGGGCACCATCATCTCCATCATCGCCTTCTACATGCTGGTCAACAAGCCGGAACTGCACGTGAGTCTCACGTGGTCTTGTGTGGCGTTTTTGATTGGTTGAGACTAACTCTCGACATGTACACAAACAGCCAATTCACACGCAAATTTTAAAGAGCTCTTTTATTTATTTTTTAAACTATGCATGCACGCAAATTGATGATAAATAACACAGTATCCTACTGCTTTATTTACATGTATTTTATTTTTTCTTCGTAAATGGTATCACCAGTGCAGAACGCACCCCCACACACCACGCCTAGTGACGCCACCGTCCAAATTTACCTTCTCTTTGTTTTTACCTGTTACAAGATTACCAAGTTGTTCTGTGACTAATTAAATGAAATTAATTAATTCCTCCCTCCCCCAGTCGTCGGCCATCATCTTGACCCACACTTCTGAGACTTTCATCTACCTGGTCACGTTGTTGGCCATCATACTGGCCGCCATCAAGATGAAGAACTTGACCTTCCACAACGAACACGAGGCTGACCTTGAAGACATCCTCATTCTCATTTCCTACACGGGTCTTCTTGCTTTTATCATATTCAGGTAGGGGGCCTAGCTTTCATTATATTCAGGTAGAGTGTCTAGCTTTCATTATATTCAGGTAGGAGGATCTAGCTTTTATTAAATACAGGTAGGAGGGTCTAGCTTTTATTATATTCAGGTAGGAGGGTCTAGCTTTTATTATATTCGGGTAGGAAGGTCTAGCTTTTATTATATTCAGGTAGGAAGGTCTAGCTTTTATTATATTCGGGTAGGAAGGTCTAGCTTTTATTATATTCAGGTAGGAAGGTCTAGCTTTTATTATATTCGGGTAGGGAGGTCTAGCTTTCATTATATTCAGGTAGGAGGGTCTAGCTTTCATTGTATTCAGGTATTGTGAAATTGGTTGGGGTGGGGGTAGGGAGGGCCTCATGCTTTTACTATAGATGTTTGTAAAAAACACTGTACATAATCAACTGTACCGTAGACTTGTACAGCCCAGTACAAATATTTTAGTAAAATAAACCTGTCAGCTTTTGCCTACACAATCACAAACAACACCAAAATTCTAAAGCTCGAGTAGAAACATAAATCTTAGTAATTTTTTTTTTTTTAATGTGGGGGTTTCTAATCCAAATGTCACTTACAATATTTTGTTCTTTGTTAGACCGTGTCTACGCCTTAACCTCCCCATTGACAGTTTAAATGTAGGTCACATTTCTATAATTAGTTCATTAAAAACATGGAGCAAGAAATAACCGGTGTCATTCAAGTCATTCATTTGAAAATTATCGTTCAGTAACTATTAGCTCGAGTTTGCTTCACTTGGTTGTAGTTTACTGAGAATAACAACACAATGCTCCTAAGGAAACAATGTTTTGGTGTAAAACAATATGTATCATGTAGATATAATGTTTTGGTGGTTAAAAAATATGTATCATGTACATAATGTGCGATAATCACCGAATCTTCTGCTCAATAAAACAATTAGGGCCCACAGATTAAAGATGTATAATGTGGACAAAGTCGTGAATGTTAAAATAATATGAATAAGGTTGCAGAATTAATATATAAAATTAATGAATATAAACAGAATATAAATAAAAAGACACTTAAGGATTTATTACAGCATTCTTTTAAAATTATATTTGTTCTATAAATACAATCTATCACGTGATCTAATATAAACTGATCGCTGATTGGTCCGCAGCCTTGTGGCGTCCATCATGCATGACGCCGACACGCGGTCAGCCCTGACCATCTTGTCCAACGTGACCATGCTCATCCAATCAACGGCTCAGACCATTTTCATGTTGGCTGGGGACCGGATGACGGCAGCCAATGAAATACAGGTAAACACAACACGTGATATACAGGTGATAGCACGATATACAGGTGATGTACAGGTGATATACAGGTGATATACAGGTGATATACAGGTGATATACAGGTGATATACAGGTAAGAGAATGATACAGGTGATAACGTGATGTTCGAGTGATGGCATCACATGCAGGTAAACAGCACAACACACAGGTAAAAGCATGTCTAAACACAACAGTGGACATTATAACGAACATCAATGGCAACCACAAGGCTACAGAGTTTCTTTCCGGCATCAGTTACACCCCCCCCCTCGAGCACATCAACCGCCTCGCCCCCAACCCTGGACAAAGTAGAAAAGGTATACAGGCCTGACTTGTATAGAAATATATACATTAACAAGTGCCCCCCCCCACCCCCCCCAGCAAAATGTCTGAGTGAAACCATACACTGATATTGATAAAACACAGAACTGATGATGACACAACAGTGTTTAACACAGTATTCAACACTGTGTGTATGGTGTTTTAGGCAATATGTAAACATTGTGTTTCTGAGAATGCTAGTTGAGAGTGCCACACCTTAACTAACATCAACAAACGGTGTAATGGTATGGTGTCTTGTTTTGGTCATATTTTCAAAAAATTAAAATTTCAGGAGTCAAAGAAAGCTGGAAGGGAGTTCATCACATTTTTGCTGATATCGAACTTTGCTATGTGGGCCGTAAATACCTTCGAGACACAGACCCCTCACCATAACCCCATACAGGTGAGTCACATACACATACACCACAACTCCATACAGGTGAGTCATATACACATACACACACCACACCAAACTCCATACAGGTGAGTCACATACACATACACCACAACTCCATACAGGTGAGTCATATACACATACACACACCACACCAAACTCCATACAGGTGAGTCATATACACATACACATACACCACACACCACACAACCCCATACAGGTGAGTCACATACACATACACACCACACAACTCCATACAGGTAAGTCACATACACATACACACACAATTCTATACAGGTGAGTCATATACACATACACACACCACACCAAACTCCATACAGGTGAGTCATATACACATACACATACACCACACACCACACAACTCCATACAGGTAAGTCACATACACATACACACACAATTCTATACAGGTGAGTCACATACACACACCACACAACCCCATACAGGTGAGTCGCATACACATACACACACACTACACAACTCCATACAGGTTAGCCACATACACATACAGCACAACCGCATACAGGTGAGTCACATACACAAACCACACAACCCCATACAAGTGAGTCACATACACATAGAAACACACAATTCTATACAGGTATGTCACATACATACACCACACAACCCCATACAGGTAAGTCACATATGCGTACATATAGACAAACGCTACATACATACAGACACACGCCACGAGACCCTACATTATGTGCAACACAGTGTCATAGTTTGCTGATGTCCCTATAAAAGGTGGTTAGTAGGTGTGTCAGATAACCTCATAAGGAGAGGTGTATATAATATGTGCACTATACCCAAGTGAATATGCACATAGCCACGTACACATAACTAAGGTTATCTTTCTAAAACAATTAGCATACATATCTACAAACATTTATAGGCCTAAACTGTAGCTATAGAATATGTTGAGAGATTTAGTTTTATTCAGAGGCGTAGCGATGGGGGGGGGGGGCAGGGGGGACATATGTCCCCGGGCGCCGACCTTAGGGGGCGCCAAAATGGGTTGTAAAAACAAATTAAAATGTCATTTTAGCTGCATTTTCTCAGTTTGACGGGAGGGGGTGTAAATCAAAAAGTTGGGGGGGGGGGGGTGCAAATCGAAAGTTTGAGGGGGGGGGGTGCAATTTGAAAATTTGCTCCCAAGGGGGGCGCCAAATTGAAAGTTTGTCCCCGGGCGCCGGGAAGGGTCGCTACGCCTCTGGTTTTATTATCTGGAATTGTACAAACTGCATATGTAGTGTTGTATGTTTAGGAGATGTAGCTTAAGGAACTGTTGATGACAACAGGTGACTTAAGTCAGCTGTAAACATGCCTTGTGTCCCCAGGTGGAGTTCTACGGGCCAGTGGCCTGGGCCATCTTCACCCACATCAGCGTTCCCCTGGGGATCTACTACAGGTTCCACTCCACCGTCTGCTTCAGCAACATTTGGAAGAACGCATGGAAGAGGAGGAAACACGACCATCATTAAGTTGGTCAACTTTAAGTTGACCATCATTAAGTTGGTCAACTTTTAGCTGACCATCATTTAGTTTACCAATGTTGACCAATGTTGACCATGACCATCATTTAGTTCATCATCATTCAGTTGACCATCATTAAGTTGACCATTCAGTTGACTACTATTTGGCTGACCATTAAGTTGACCAGAATTTCTTTCACCATCATTGACCGCGACTATCATTAAGCTGACATCCATTGACTGTTCCATGTATGCAACAAATCTGTTGGAACATTGACCTCTCTGTATAAGCAACGAATCTGTTGGATATGTTCTATTCACTTCATGTATAGTTGTGTCAAAAAAGTTAAACATTCAGGGTTTTTATGTAGAAGTTTTCAAGTCTGGCACATTTTAAATGTCAATGTGTGTATTTATTTTATTGCAGAATTTTGCAGGAGTTGTTTTTTTTTAAATTGTTTCTATTTTTTCAGACCTCTGATTTAATTTATTTACAAAACAGCAACAGATATTCATTCATAGCAGCTCATATCTGTGATATTTTGTGAGAGATTGTGAGTCCCAATGTGAAATTTTAGTTTTTTTTTTAATGGTAGATTTTATAAATGGTATATACGTGGTTATGTCCCTTATTCAGTTTAAATCATACATGGGAGGAGAGCCAGTACGACATTTATAATGCAATGTTACATTTAAATAAAAGATTAAAAATAGTATCATTTTTTTTTCTTCATCCAGTGTGTTCTAACTGTATACTATTTGTATTCCTTTCGTCAATGTTAAAATGTATACTAAAATTATGATTTGTTCAGAAGTAATTAAATATGACTTGCCATTTTGTTTTAATTTTGTGTTCCATTTTTTTCCCCATATGTAAATAACAGCGTCTTTCATTCAGAAAACATTTATAAAAAATTTTTTATATATTTTTTGGTATTTAAAACAACTTGTACCTTGTTATGTGGCAATGTATAGAAGGTGTGTGTTCCCGGTTTGGACTTTTCCCTTCCGACCAGTGTTTCTTCCAGACATTTTTCTAATCGGTCCATTTTTAGTATGACTAGGTTGTTTTTTTTTAAATCTTCAGCAAAGGGAGATAAATTTCTCGAAATGACAATTTCCACGTATAATGAAAATGTATGTAACTCAGCAAGGTGCTAGGTTAACGACTAGGAACTATATGTATAATTTAATTGTATAACTTACTTTTATGTTATGAACAATCATGTTACCCCTTGTCACGAATATTTTGTTCACCTTTTTTTGTACGCTGCATCATCAAATGACTTGAATTTTTTTTTTCATTCTCAAATTTGTACACAGATTAACCAAGATGTTTGTATTTATATTTTTTTTTTACGATTGTGTTGCAACACAAAGAAAATGTTATTAAATAAATTATTCAAACTGAACTGTTATAGTTGTCTTCTTTGATAATCTGTATAGTACTTTTTAATTGTTAGGAAAACATAAAAAGCGCCACTAGTATAGCATGACTAGCCATCTCCACCCATAAACATTAACAATTCCCGAAAGAACCTCACTAGTTGGTCCCACTGTCAATCCGTTGATCCCTGATTGCCGTTCTAATTTTCTTTTACGTTAACATTAAAGAAGATTGTGTGGTCAACCTCACTTACAAAGTCCCTTACTTAGGGGACATAACTCTACCTCAAGTAAACCTGCGAACTAATATAGTGACTTCATCCCTCCTTAAAATGGTAACCGGATGTTCTACATTTCTCTGCATTGTATTAATGACGCACGTCTATAAAAGACTCATTTTATGTCATTTCCAATGAGATCAAATATTTTAGGAAACAGATTGTGTTCTGATAAACTGGGAACAGATCGTAACTGAAAATAGCATAGGTTTCCAGGTGGCAATATTATTCTTTAATACTATTGGAGCCAAACCGTCTATTTCTTCGGGACCTAAACAAAACATGTTGATAAACAATCGTGAATGAATGTGCATGTAAGAAAAAAGTATTACTATTGTTTATGTATCAGCTCTCACAAGCCGAAGATGAAAACTAATACTGCAGCGAACACAGCAAGGCAAACTGACGCTGTAAATTACATGTTTGAGGGAAATGAAATAAAAAATGTCATTATTTAAGTAACAAATAGCTGTCTTAGTTTAGCGAAAAGCTCTATTTAACTAATAACAGAAAAACAAGTATCAATAAAAATATCTTTATTGAATATTTTTTTAAAACAGGTTAAAAACTTAAAAACCAGAGAGTTAACGAAACAAAAGACTTCAAAAACTTTAATTAAACTGATGATTGATCAATCCTTACAGAAAAAAAAATGTTTCTGTTGCCAATAGCTTTCAAGACAGTTTCATTCACTCTCATGGCCAACTCAACTGTACACCCGACACCGCTCACACCAATCTATGCCAAACCAAATCTGGTGGTACGAATAAAAGGGGGATAACCTGAGCGTCGCCTGGGACTGCGAAACTCCCCCATCCCACACGGAAGGAGTTTCACAAAACGGCGTCACTGCTCAGTGTAGACTAAATCCACACCCCTTCTTGTTTTATATATCAGCATCCGCCACTGCTCACAATTCTATTTCCTACAAACCACGCCCATTTTTTTTTTGTTTTATATATATCAACATCCTAAAAATTCTTTCGTGCACTTTCTATTTTAAAAGCAAACTTTTTTAAAAATCAGCGCAGCTAAAACAACAAAACAATGTTACTCTGTCACCCCCAGATCAGGCGACACCCAGAGGGATCAAAACACACGGAGAAGCGTGTGTAACACAACTAACATTTGAGAGACTCATCTTAACAATTTAAAATAGCACACTCCAGTCAAATTAAAATAGCACACTCAAGTGAAATTAAAATAGCACACTCCAGTCAAATTAAAATAGCACACTCCGGTCAAATTAAAATAGCACACTCCGGTCAAATTAAAATAGCACACTCCGGTCAAATTAAAATAGCACACTCCAGTCAAATTAAAATAGCACACTCCAGACAAATTGAAGTTAAAACTTTGCCTCTGGCGTAAAAAATGATTTAAAATCCCAGTGGGATACAAAATTTACAATCTTATTAAAAATAAAAAAAATTTAAAAAAAAAAGCTTGATAATTGGCCTATAGCGTATAGGAATCACAAGCGTTGAATTAAAAATGAATGAAGTTAAAAATTTAAGAAAACATCTGTTGAAAACAAAGACAATGAACTCTGTACAATTGACCAGTGTACCACACTAGCTCAGTCGGGTCAGCTCATGACCTTTACCTAGCCAGGTCCTGGGCACCGTTAGAGGCACGCCCTGGAGAGCCTTTGTGGGCACCTCGATGTAGCTGACGTCAAACCGTCCAGCCACCCTGCCCAGCCACCCCGACACGAGGGAGCTGCCACATTTCCTCCTGTTCCCAAAAATTCTCACAGTCCCCAGGTAATGGACAGCACACAGAGGGTTCCACCTCCCATGCCAGAGTTGCGCCACGAGCCTGCAGTTGACGGGGCGGGCGTTGTTCTGTTCAAACTCAATCAGCGCGCCCTTTGACCGGAGGAGGTACATGACGTCATGGTACAGGAAATGAATGACCCCGTCTCCCTCCCCGGGGATTTCCCCCCAGTCAACCAACCGATTGGTACGCCTCTGCAGGCTGTACGCCCTGATGCCGTGGTGGGCTCTCACCAGAAAGATGAAGTAGTCGTCCAGTGTAATCACGTCCACGGCGTCCTCAAGCAGATCAGACCTGAAGACCAATGTCCACACCGTGCCCTCAAACAGCTCCGGCCTGAACCCGCTTGTCCAGTTACTCTGGCGGTTTCTCCCAATTCCAATGCGATGTATGGCACCAGCATTCAACCGATGGATCACGTGATTTCGAGCGAAGAGCAAACTTTTGCTGCCAGGGGTGGTGAAGTTGTTTCTGGCGTCGAAAGCCTCGAGCCAAATTTTCTCCACGCTGAGTATCAGGAAGGAGGCGGTCGAGTTGCTGAAGCATTCCAGGAACAGCTGATCCCGAAAGTTTAGCAGGCTGATGTTCGAGACTTTGTTGTCGTACTTGGCAAATTTGTGCAGCATTTCACCCTCCATGCTGAACGCCTTCAAATCATTCGGAAAAGCGAAAATCACGACTTGGACGAACGGGCTCCGTTTCCGGCAAATCATCTCAGCAGGCCAGTAGCTCTTTCGGTCAGCGTCCTCGTTCTGGTAGATGAGCGCCTTGGCCACCAGGCTCAAGATGTTGGGCTGAGACAGGATGAACGGCTGAGACAGCATACGAGACAGCATGATGCCGCCTACCAGAAAAATCCGAGTCCGCCGAATCAGCCGGTACACAAAAGACTCCCGGCTACCGTCTTCGGGGACGTTCTCAAGCAGGCTGAGATCCCCTCTTTCCATGAATCTCCGGCGTTGTTGACACACGGCCATGGTGATCTGTCTCTCGATTCTACTTGTCCCCCCTTCCCATCTGTTAGCGGGTCTCATCCAAGAGCTAGACGACCCCGCTCCTCCCTCTAAACTCCCAGAATAAATATTGTCACTTTCATAGTCATCACTCCAACTCTCGACGTCCACATAAAAATCTTCCTCCGGGTCACTCTGGTCCCCAGGTGGATAATTCATCCACTTCAGCACAACATCCATCACCTGATCCTCCTCCACGACAGTCAGGTCCTCATGTCCGAGGATGTCAAGCAGGTTCTCCCCAGTCACGTGCTCGTTGAACAGATCCGTGTCCATGTCCAGGAAGTGTCTGGCGATGAAGGCGACGGCCGTGCTGACCGCTTGCGACCTGAAAAAGTTGGCGATGGCCAGAATCTCCACGGCGTTTGATTGGCTGATGCACCTGCTGACGTTCATCTCGCAGATCTGGCTCACATTGACCAGCTGCAGCATGTCCGACGCCATCCAGACCTCCGTGAAGTTCTCCGGGGTCAAGGTCGTGCTGACCCCGCGGTACATGAAGTCCATGATGACGTCAAAAGTTCTGGCCTTGACCTGATTCAGTTGGAACTGGTTTTCTCTCCGCTCCTTCATGTCGGTCTGGAAGAGGCAACGAAAGAACTTGGAGCAGGCGGTGAAAAGGAACTTGTGGCACGTGTAGCTCTTGCCCTCGACGACGATGACAACATCCCCGGGGATGTCAGGGTCAGTCCGGATGCTGGCCATCTGCTTTTGGAGCGCTACGGCCACTGCGTGATCGATCGGCGTCTCTGCTGGACTTGGTGGAATCGAACGCTTCATTTGTTTGGCTGGGGAAGTAAGGAAGAGCTACCTTGATGAATGATGTTTTAGTTGGTTGTTCAGGCATGAAGGTAAAAGGGGCAGAGTGTGAAGGGACATGGTGGTCTAAGGGCATTAGGGTCTAGGGGCATTAAGGTCTAGGTGTATTAGGGTCTAGGTGTATTAGGGTCTAGGGTCATTAAGGTCTAGGTGTATTAGGGTTTAAGGGGCATGGTGGTCTAAGGGGCGTTGTGGTCTAAGGGGCGTGGTGGTCTAAGGGGCGTGGTGGTCTAAGGGGCGTGGTGGTCTAAGGGGCGTGGTGGTCTAAGGGGCGTGGTGGTCTAAGGGGCGTGGTGGTCTAAGGGGCGTGGTGGTCTAAGGGGCGTGGTGGTCTAAGGGGCGTGGTGGTCTAAGGGGCGTGGTGGTCTAAGGGGCGTGGTGGTCTAAGGGGCGTGGTGGTCTAAGGGGCGTGGTGGTCTAAGGGGCGTGGTGGTCTAAGGGGCGTGGTGGTCTAAGGGGCGTGGTGGTCTAAGGGGCGTGGTGGTCTAAGGGGCGTGGTGGTCTAAGGGGCGTGGTGGTCTAAGGGGCGTGGTGTAAGGGGCGTGGTGGTCTAAAGGGCATGATGGTCTTAGGGGCATGATGGTCTAACGGGCATGGTGGTCTAACGGGCATGGTGGTCTAAGGGGCATGAAGTCGATGGGTATGGGGTCTAGGGCCATGAGGGTGTAGGGGCAGGGGGTGTAAGAGCTTGTTGGTGGCCTGGTACAGCGGTGGTGACTAAAGGTGTCGACGACTAAGGTGAGGACTAAAGGGTCCAGAGTGTGTTAAGGCTAAGGTTAGTTTGCTTAAGTTATCGACATTACGGAATCAAGGCAATGACCGATGAAGCATATAATGACAGTGTCAGAATTTTTTTGAATGCTAGAGCATTTGTTTTTCTTCAGACACATAATCAAGTTAGAGAAACTAAATAGTGCCTGGAATTGGATGTTAAAAAGAAATACACGATACATAAAAAATAATAAATAAATAAATATAAATAAATAAATAAATAAAAACAAACCAAATACCTTGACTAGAGGTTGCTATTTCCTGATCTCCAAAACTTGTCTGACCACACACACAACAACACACACAACACACCGACTTGCACTAAACACACGGCTTCAGTGTCAAATGGTTTCGAACTCAGAGTTTACCCCACATTATGACGTATAACACATGTGAATAATGCTCAGCCTTTGTAAAAAAAAATACAACACAGTAGTTTAGATGGGTTCAACATTTAAAAAAAAAAGGTTTTAAGATTACATACAGGGGAGAGGTTGGGGTACATTTTTTAAAAATAGGTTTTAACTTTTGCACTAAAAAATCACTCAGCCGTGAAAAACAAAACAGTTCACCGTCATCCAATAACTAGCTGTTTTAATTTAGCAATCGCTATCATTTAATCTTTTTACCTCCCCTTTTATTGTTGAATTTAGTAATTTTTGAATAAAATTTTAATGACTAACCTAATGTCTAATTAGATTTAGACATTTTTGCATAGACTACGAATGTATCTGGAAAGAGTGAACGAAATCGTTGCATTAGAAGTGGGTCAAGATAAAGTTACAAAATTGTAACATCCCGCAAATAGCGAGATGTGAACTAAATGAAAGCTGATAAAAATAAGGAAATAAATCATCTTTTTTTTTTATTTTTATTTTAGATACAATAGTAAAAAGCGTTTGACGCTAAACTGAGTTTAATAAAGAGATTTTCAGAACATCCAAACCTTTTAGGCCTAGAGTTTATATCTACCGAAAGCTTTAGTGTATTTAAAAGCCTTTTATTTTAAATGTTTTTAAACTTGTTTTTTTTTTCTCTTTTTCGGTCAAGGCCACAACGACATGGGTGGAGCCTGAACCGTACACTATCAAGTTATGCATGACAGTGGTTGTTACATATGTACATACAACATGGTTGCCAAGGCAATGGGATCACTGCCCTTCAATTTAAACATTTTTTTATATTCTGATATAGTCTATGCCGATAGAATGGTTGGATGAGAAAGTTAACAACCAAATTACACAATTTCACACAGCTTATTCACAGTAACATCAATATAAGGTTTATTTCTAATGACGTTGTAGAAAAAATATTTTCAATTAAATTATACATAAAGTTCCCTTCTCAGACTTAACTATCCAAAGGAGGGCAGATGAAGTAGAGTTCACGTTTTTCCTGGCCTCTGCATATGAAGGGATGGGTGAACTCAAGAACGTCAGACAGTCATGTCCTAATCAAATCATAGTTCGAGACCTTAGGATTAAAAGTAAAGCAATCTGCAGCTTGCCCCCCCCCCTCAAATCCCATTTAAACTATATAGGGTTAATAGAATTTTGTTTACAAATAAACAGTATCATAGTATGTGGGAGGGGAGGGGAGAGGAAGTTCCTATGAATAATATAGGCTTATGATATCAAGGTGTTCTGTTATAATAAAATATATAGTTATAAAAAGTCTAAAATGTCCTATTTTTGTGTGATATGAAAAAGTCGCCATGTTTAGTACAAATCATGATGTTATCACGTTTAAGAATCAGCTCAAACAAATCCTTGAATGTTTAGAAAATGTCATGTTTATTGGTACACAAAAATACTACCACACTAACCATTTTATTAAAGGGCCACAACAATTTGTTTTCTAATTAAAGGGAATTAATCCAAATTTTGGCATTTAAAACAATACTATCAATTTATTGGGAACAAAAAAGGTGTTAAGATAAATCATACAAAATTTAAAATAAATAATTTTAAAACAGATTCTCCATTTACTTCATTTAAATTGATTGTGTTTTAATTAGTAAAGATAAATTCAAATTAAATTCTAAATTAAAGGTTTTTTTTTAATTGAGATTCGCAAGTTAGGAGAAATATTTTTAAAATGAAAGTTTTCCCTGATTGTACTCTAAAAACCTTACACCAATTTTTTAAAACTTACAATATCATCATTAAAAACATGTTTAACATGTAGGAAATAATTTGTTCTGTTCTCTCTATCAGATCATTTATCTAGGAAAACATTTTGAAAAACATGTGATCAGTTATTTTTAAAATCTAAGCTAATTTTGTTTAGCAAAAATATTTTGAAAAAAAAAAACATTAATTAAATGTAATTATTTTTTTTTAAAAAACTTACTCCTTATTTTTAAAAGGGAATTTTTTTTTTTTTAAACGTCCTAAATTAAAATTTACAAAAACAAGAAAGCAAAAATTGAACAGTTACAGTTGAATAATTTTTAAATGAATTTTTCTGAATTAACATTTTCTAAAGCAAGATATTTCTAAATTCAGTTTTCTTAGCAAACCAAATAATTATTTTCTGAAAAAATTCTACCAAAACAAATAATGCAAAACTGAACACAGGTAGATAAATGGTAACATGGTACAATGTTCTAACCATTTAAAAAAGGGAGATAAGTGGTAAATGTACAATTTAAAAAAACTTTATATTTTACAATTTAAAACATGAGTAGTCATGTCAGTTTAAAAAAAAAACATTTTTTTTAAATTTAATTTATTTTCTTATGTAAACATTGACACACTTCTAATCCGAAATGTGAAAGATAAATACAACACCACCATCAGTGATCAGTACATACTGAGCTAGTTCCATAACACAAACTGTTTAACACTCACAACAAAGTTTGACATACTCCATGGCTCTCTTTGTGGAATAACATATGCTGAACACACATCAAAAGATTCTCACAACTAGATGGAATGTCATTGCACCATACCCAGTTTTTAAAACCAACCTTAAAACACACCAGTAAACATTAAATTTCTTGTATAATCTAAGGCATGTAAGAATTATAACTAGTGTAAAATGGCAACATTTGAAAATATTTTTTTACATGCAACAATATTTTTTAAATTAAAAAGTTATCAACAACTTTAGAATGGTTGTGAATTACTTTAAGGCCTGGTAAAGCTTTTAAAAGCACAAATGGTGAATTTTAGATAATCAATTTTTTAAATTCAAGGTACAACTGGTAACCTAGACAATATAAGTCTGGCAAACTAATCAACAAAAATCTGGCAAGATCAGACAAGAACAATGCTGATTTGGCCTGTAACATATTTCTTCACTTCCTGCAGCCGAGAACTGTCTTTGACTGCCATAAACACATGGTTTATGTTCAGATTATGTGTAAAGAAAATTATTTACAAAAACAGTTTTAAAATTATGTTTTCATATTTGATATGCTACTGCTGGGGAAACTGACCAGACTAAATGTATGTGGACGTCAACATTCAGGCAAGGGTCATCCACTCAATCAGCACAGCCAGAGATATAAAAGTTCAGTGGTTTAAATTAAATCTAATTTTAAAATTATAGTTAACTAATTTTAAAAATTTAAACCACTTGGCAATGCTAAACATAGTGAGGTTTAAAAAGTGGATAAACAGCGCTATGATGCTATGTCTTGATAGCCAACTTTGTCAGCAAGCCTGTATTGATACAAACATTTCACAAAAAATGTGCGACCAAAGATCTCTCACTTGGCCAGTAGCATGGCGAAACATTGAAATTATTTTATAACTAAATCATTTGTTTACAGTCTCTCAGTTTATGGTATGAACTCTCCGAGGTGGGTGTCTACTCCGATGCTTAGGTGGCGAGTAATTTGGAGGTGTTATCGTCTCTCCGAGTTCGTTTAAATACAGAGACTCGTACGATGGCGGGGGCTCATCAACGTCAGGCAGGGAATCTGAGTCACTTTCTGCTGTGGCGCCAGGTTCAACTCCATCCGGAGCCGACGCTGTTGTGCCGTTTTGTGTTGAGGAAGTGCCGGAGCTCTGCGGGAGGTTGGTGCTGTGTAGCTGTATGGTCTCAGGTTCAGGGTCATCTGTGGAGACGATGGTCAGGCGTGTGGTTTCCCTGACGCTGCTGTTACGCTCGGGGTCGCTGGTGCTCTTCTTCCTGAGACAGCTACAGCAGCGGGTGGCCCTCAGGATGACGAAGGTCAGACCAAACGCTGCCAGGACGGCGCCGATGATGCCGGCTATTCGGATGATTTTTTCTTTGCTCATGACTGGCAAACAGAAAATGGACAATGAATTAATTTATCTAAATAACCAAATTGCTCCGAGGGAAAAAAATTGTAAATGTTAGGTATGATATATAAATATGATAGAATGCTCAAAGGCTCCATTGAGCATTCTATCATATTTATATATCAGACTAATCCGGCTTTTCCGCAAGTAAAATATTTATTTTTTATATAAACAAACTTTTTTTTTGATTACTCAGCAAATTTAATTAAGTTTGTTTCATTAGCAAGTTTAATTTGTTCAATAGTTTAGCACAAAAATTCTGCCTTATTACACAGTTAAATAAATTGCTGGATGACTGATAAGTACCTATGACTCTAATGAATCTTTTTTTGTTCTAAATTGCAGTTAAGGCATTTCTAACTTCGTTATATGTACCGGTGGTGGACATACAGGAGAACGTAGGGTGGAAATCTTGCCATGAGGAACTTAGGTGAAGGAACAAAAACCAAAGCTGGGAACCTGAGGAACAGATCAGGGCTTGCTGCTGGGACTAAAGCCAGAGTAAAGGTCAAAGGTCTCACCTTCCTTTGACTTGACCTCCATGCTGAACTTCCTGTCACCTTCGACCTCCCCTCTCTTGTAGACCACAAGCAGTGACCTGCCGTGGCTGGTGTAGGGGGAGCCGGGTGTCTTGTCACACAGGGTGTCCAGCTCAGGGGCGTCATCGGAGTCACCTGAAACACATCGTGGGGGAGATAATCACATGGTAGGGGTTAAGTAAGGGGAGATAATCACATCTCAGGGTTCAAGTCAGGGGGAGATAACCACATGTCAAGGTTCAGGACAGGGGGAGATAATCACATGTCAGGGTTCAAGTCAGGGGAGATAATCACAGATCAGGGTACAAGTCAGGGGGAGATAATCACATGACGAAACAAAAAACGAACTGTGCAGGATATGTGGAAAAAATATAATTGAATTTCTAAAGAAATGGGTCATTACTTGACGGAGGAACTTAAATAGGCAAGGGTAGATAATGACAAAATAAAACCAAGGTAGATCACTGTGCATACAATGAAGATTTACAAGTAAGGAAAATTACCCACTTAGAAAAATGAAAAAGGCAAGGAAAGACAACTATGTGACAGGATGGAACTGTTTATAACATTTGTGTACATTTATTTTGACTGACCATTATAAATAATCACACAGTCCCCTTCTTTAGATTTCTCCGTGGTTTTGATGTTGAAATCCGTAAAGGTCAGCTTGACCACATCACTGCTGTCGGCTGCTGTGATGATCCATTTACATTTTTCACTTCTGTGGACACAGCATGATCAGTGTTAGACATTAGAGGAGGTGGCTATATATTAGATTTCTTCAGTAAGTTGGTACTGATCTTTGTGTATACGTTATGATCATCAAGTTTTGCCTGAATATTTAAGCATTGTTTTTAACTATTTTTAAATGCCTTTAAAACTGTATATATTCTCTAATACACTGCAAAGCTGCCAGACAAAATAGTGGTATTTCAAACCACCTTCTAGCAAGACCACACACTACACACACACAAAAACATCACTACCAATGTTACAGACAAAAACCACCTTCTACCAAGCCCATGGGCAAAACCATCGTCTGCCAAGCCCACCGACAAGAAAACCATCTTATATTAAGCCCACAAAAACCACATATTTCCAAGCCCGCAAACAAAAACAACTACTAACCAGCCCACAAACAAAACCACCTTCTACCAAGCTCACAAACAAAACCACCTTCTACCAAGCTCACAAACAAAACCACCTTTTACCAAGCTCACAAACAAAACCACCTACTACAAATCCCACAAACAAAACCACCTACTACCAAGCCCCCAAACAAAACCACCTTCTACCAAGCCCACGAACAAAACCACCAAGCCCACGAACAAAACCACCAAGCCCCCAAACAAAACCACCTACTACCAAGCACACGTACAAAACCACCTACTACCAAGCACACGTACAAAACCACCTACTACCAAGCACACGAACAAAACCACCTACTACCAAGCCCCCAAACAAAACCACCTTCTACCAAGCCCACGAACAAAACCACCAAGCCCACGAACAAAACCACCTACTTGTCTGAAGTGACGAACCTCTCGTACGTGTCAGTGAAGACGACGACACTGGGGTTACCATAAGCCCAAACCTCAGCAGTAGAAGACGTGCATCCCCCCTCAGCTGTGGGTAAACAAAGACACCAGTCAGAACAATGTGAGTATTGCATGTTGGTCAAAATGTATGATGTAATGACAGTCAATATCCGCAATTAATCCTTTGTCGTATACTCTCCACTCCAATATTCTCTCAAATGCTACCAATACCCGTATTTCTCTTAAACTTCCCCTGTCATATTCCCTAATATACTCTTCATTACCGTATTTCTTCATATTCTCACCCCCATACTCCCTTATATACTCCTTACTCCAATATTACCTCATAAACTCACTCCCGTATCCCCTCTTATACTTTTCACTCCCATATTCCCTATTAAACTCCACACTCCCACATTCCCTTGTTTACTTACTCCCCAATACCTTTATAAACTCATCACCCCCATATTCACACATGTATTTTCCCACAAGAACATCATCTAACTAAATGTGTTTCCAACTCCCATATTCCCTCACACACTCCCCACTCCCATATTCCTTTATTTACTCCCCAATACCACATAAGCCTACAATGTGACACTGCCTATTATAAAATTACGACACCGTCATCAAAACAACACTATGGATTTCTAAGCTTTCACTACATTTCAAATACCGGTGTAATTAGAAAAAATACCAAGGCTTTATTTTAATACCACGACTAAATTTTATTGTTGTTTGAAATCAATAGTCACTGATGCACTTAACGTTTATTTGAGACATTTTTAGCACCTAGGTGTATACCTGATACAGTGAAAATAAAAGTGGTAAAAGTGATAATTTTAGGGTATTCCTACCATATATAAGGTTTGGAGTTAGATACGACGCAAAGGTTTTGAAGAACTAAAAATAATTGTGTAGAAAATACTACATCAGATTTATCTTCAGAATATTTTTTTTATTTAAAATTCAACCAATCTTTGAAATATTGTTTACAACTAAAAACATTTACCGGAAGAGATGGCGAGCAGTAGGAGACTTGTGGTGATGACTAGACCTGGCCAGGTGTTTGATTCGTTCCTTGTTAGGCCCTTCATTGTATACAAGTTCAAGTTTTTTATTTACCCTGGTTTAGTTCTCCATAGCTAAGGCTGACCTGAAAACAAAATTTTAAGGGAAAAAAATAATTAGTCTAAAGCTAATTACGAGAAGAAACTTCGACTGCATAACATTAATTATCTAATAGTTTTTACCACGAAATTGATTTTGTTAGAGAATAAATTTGCATATGATGAAACATGTTGCTCGATCAATAAACGATTAGATTTTTTAACACAATGAATGAGGTAACTCAACTAGTAGTTTAAATGACGAGCATGAAATAGTACAAAGACGTATGTCCATTGCTGATAGGGTAGGACTCAAATATTCTTAAAAAAATAATTAGACAGAATACACAAGGCAAAGACCCCCATGAAGCAAAAACACACAAGTAGGTGGAGTAAAATTTTTTTTTTTTCATATTTAGCAGCATAGTCAATTTATGAAGGTGACAGCACCATTGAAATTAAAACACACATCTCAAAAGATAAGAAAACCTTAGGCGCCTGACAGAAAACACAGACATCTTAAAAAACAAATCTTCTCCAAAACCGAATACTGACTTGTCTAAAGCAATACCCAGCGCGTCCTTTATGTCAGAACACTCTGGAAACCAAACATCCGATCACTGGATTCATTCCAAACAAAATGTCTGCGAAGTATAAAGGTCTCCACTGGCCCAACACCATCTCCAACAAGCGCCAGAGTTACCAAGACTAATGGCAGTGGACGCCGTTTCAAAAGTAATCGAAAAGAGATGGCTTTGGGTGGGCCATTAAGTCAGATGGAATTACTGCAATGGCAATAGACTGGGCGCCCCGAGGGGAAAGGGAAGCCTAGGGAGACACGGAGACAGAGCCGAGCGCCAACTGCCAGAAGATTGCTAGAGGACGGCAGAAGTGGAAAGAACTTTCTACCGAGGAGAAAAGATGGTGAGAAGAACAGGGTGGATTTAGTAAAGTCGGCTGGACATCTCTTATCAATTCCATAAACCTGACATAAACTATACCTAGTAATTAGACCATCAGGTCTCAAAAATTGGCTGACTTAACTTCTAAAGGTCCCAGGTTAATTAAACATCCGCTACCCACTCTCTAAAAAATATAACCCTCTACAATCAACGCGAACTTTTAACTTCAAAGGTATCGATCGTTTTTTTTTATTCAGTTTATTTTGTAACAAATTAACTTTAGACCAAATGTTTGTACTCAGATCTACATGATAGTGATCATTATCATCAGGAGGGTGGGGGGGGGGGGGGCGAACTAATGTGTGATTGTACCGGTTAACAAAGTAACTTTAGACCAAATGTGTGAGTGTACAGGTGGGAAGTGGGAAAGTCCTGATGTGTACGTGTACCTGTGGGCAAGTATTGATGTCTACGTGTACCTGTGGGCAAGTATTGATGTGTACATGTACAGGTGTAGTCTGTGAGAGGATGAGAACTGGGCTACCACAGCTTGGTAAACTTGGCAGCCGGCTGTAGCAGCTGTAGCAGGTAGACCACACAACAGCTGGGATTTAAAGCTGCGGTCACGTGACAACACAGCTGTGGGAAGCCAAGCGTCACAACAAAAGTGACATCATGTGTCAAAACACAGCTGGGTGACACTATGCGTGACTATACATGTGAGGTTACGTGAACGTCACGTGTGACAACACATCTGTGTGACGTCATGTGAAACAATATATCTGTGTGACGTCATGTGCAACAATATATCTGAGTGAAGTGACATGTGACAACACATTTGAGTGACGTCATGTGTAACAACACATTTGAGTGACGTGACATGTGACAACACAACAGACCTAACATGGATGACGACACTGACAGCACCACTGACACACTGCTGGTCAAGTGGGCTTCAACAATCTGCCATGGCTCTCATGTCCACTCCGTGAGTTGTTGCATATAGAGGTCAAGACGGTGATTAGATGGTGTAATGGGGGGGGTCAAGAGGGGGTGGGGGTGGGGGGTCAAGAGGGGTGGGGTGGTGGGTCAACTAACATCAAGCTGTCAGCTTACAGAAAATACAATTCTCGGGTCGAGTTTATACAACAGTGATGACGATTTCAGTCGATGTTTATTAACATTACAGCTTGTCTTGATGGATGACAATGGGGATTTGTTTTCTTTACAAAAAATAATTCCAACTTTTTCTAGTGACTAATTATAATATATCTAAAGTTTTATAGTTACTAATAATTTAGTAAATGTATTTGCTCGGGAAAGATAATGGATTGGAACTATAATTGAAATTAAGTCATTGAACGGTTGCTAAGTAATAGGTTGTCTTGCAGACGACACAATTGTTTCTCTTTGTTAGAAAAAAGTCCCCTTCTGCCCGAGGAATATGACGTTTATTGACAGGTGAATTCTACTTCTGCCTATGTTATGTATCGTCCGATGCTTAGTTTTCCTATACTGGGCATTATTTTATTTTACTCAAAACTTAGATTTGTAAACACTACAAGTATTTTCGGTTTTTGTAGTTGAGAAATCGCTGTTTTTTAAAAAATGGCTTTTTTACGAGAGGGGTTGGTAGGCGTCATTTAGTGGGTCGGATATTTTGAAAGGGTGGACAGTGAGGGTGTGTAAGGATTGTCCAAAATGCGTGTCATTTATGAACGCCCCCCCCCCTCAAGTCCAGGTACTCATAAGAGGAGGATGCATATAAAATGTACGACGCATGGACATGTTAGGCCTCAGCTATTTTCTTGGCATACATATTAGGGGCATATTACTGATATCAGGGGCATTCTGCTTGTTATTCATTTGAAATTATACAGGCCAATCACCAGTCAGTTGAAAGTCACATGACCAGATACAAATGAAAACACAACTAAGCCTGCTCGGGCTAAACGTTTCAATGAGTTTTTTATTTTATTTTTTTTTTTATTTGCTTAACCAGGAAGGACCTGTGTTAAAATTCTAACAATTGTTAACAACAAAATAGCGTCATGTACACCCAGTTTTGAAATGCCAGGGACCGGTATTGTGTGTATCGTTAACGCGGGCTTATCTAATATCTGACCTACTTAAAAATTCTTAATTTTTTTTAGGAGAGATTTTGTTAGGATATCGAGATAGACCAGGGTGGATAAGGGTCTGGGTCAGGGTTGGGTGTGATTTGGTCTAAAAGAGAGTTTCTTTCAGGCATCTCTTCCGCACATCTAACCAGATGCGTAGCGACCCTTCCCGGCGCCCGGGGACAAACTTTCGATTTGCACCCCCCCCCCCCTCAAATTTTCGATTTGTTTTTCCAACCCATTTTGGCGCCCCCTAAGGTCGGCGCCCGGGGAAATATGTCCCGTCCCCCCGCCCCCCCCGTCCCCCGTCCCCCCGCTACGCCTCTGCATCTAACACCCACTCCCCCACCAAGCGAAATGGAATAGGTATACAAAATTTATTATTCGACTAAATGTCTTCCACCGCAAATTTGAAATGCCCCCCCCCCCCCCCACCCTGCGGAGAAAAATGCCTGAAAGAAACACTGGTCTAAAATGAACACATCTCTGGTGCTATGTAGCACTGAACAAGAATTTCTAGCAAAAGTTAGTACCAGAGGGCCACGTCCTGAGGTATGATACGTGTTAGTGTGGGGGACAGACCCGGGGGTCACGGGTTGTGGGAGAGTTCACCAATGAGGTATCATGTTACATGTGGTGTTTATGTCTGACTCAGTGTTTCTTCCAGACTTTATTCTCCGGGGAGGGGGGGGGGGCACTTGATATTTTCGGGGGAAGGAGGGACGGACACTGATAAAAGTATATATTTTCTATATAAATTCCATTTCGTTTGGGGGGGGGGGCTTCCTTCGGGCCCCACCCCCTCCCCCAAAGAGATGCCTGGAAGAGGCGACTCTCCAGTTCCATGCACAAATATTAATTTTATATATATATATATATATATATATATATATATATATATATATATATATATATATATATATATATATATATATATATATATATATATATATATATATATATTATTTTATATATATTATATATATATATTATATATATATATATTATATTATTTTATTTTTAAAACATTAAAAATATAATGAATATAAATAACTATAAACATGATAAAAACACTCATCAGAGAACAATGATAGGTGCGTTCGAAAGTATAAGGACAGCTGACCACAGCTTGGGCACCAGGCCTAGCCGTACAGCCGTTGACGACAGTTCCATTCTTGCCACTGCCCAAGTGCTGACTTTTTAAAAATAGACTCTATCGTTAAATGAGGAATGTTATTTTATTCAAAATGCATTTCTCTATCCGTCAGTAATAATTAATTTGACGTGAGTGACGTAGTTTGTTTTGGTTATTAGGTTATTAACTTCCTACTTTTGAGCCGGGTACTGGACGGTGGGGTACGAGTTTACCCTTCGTTCAGAGGGGTGGAAGCCTTGTGAGAACCAAAGGACAAAAGGACCGGTACACGGAAATCAAACCGATATTCAAGCCAGTTAGTCGGAGTTTGTCGTGTTGAGGCTGCCTAACAAGTTATTTTCTTGTAAAGTGGATTGGGATAGTCCTATAGTTATATTATTTGATTACTTATTTCATCATAGCAGAGCTAGATAAAATTCGTTTACATGTATTGTGCGAAATATTAATATTTTTTTAAATATAAATATTCTTTCATATTTAAAACTATTTCAAATCAAAAATCAAATTTATATGTCTAATCTTAATGAAATGCCAAAACAAAATAAAAAGTTAGTGGCTCTTTAAAACTGGGAACTTTCGTAACTTGTAACTTTTGGCTCTTCCTCTCCAAAGGTTGCCGACCCCTGGCCTAGTGTATTCTCAATTAAATGGAGAACGGAGGAGAGTACTAGAATAACATAAGAAGCAAACAAGGTTGGCCATTGAACCATGTAACATAATAGTTTTAAACAAGGCTAAAATAAATCATGGTATCAAATTATGCAAGTAAAATCTATGGTTGGCAAACTTCGAGTGTAGCTACATGTCACATAAGAACAACAGCAGATAATTTTAGATCTTGTCCCTTGTTTTCAGGGGAGCCAAAATTAAGTTTTATAGGTAGTTAGAAACTGGTTTTAATCGTAAGTTTACATACTTAATTAAACAATTCAACAAGTCTTTGAGCTAAAGCTTTTCTACACCTTTAGAAGTCAACTAATTATTTTGAAATCCAATAATTTTTAAGAATAGAGAAAATGCTCTCTGCCGTTATATAAATGCTTGTGTTTATGTTGAAAATTAGACAATTCTTTTTGTTTTTATTGTATTAATTTTTTTCTTCTTTAGCTAAATAAAGAGATTTTAGTTGTTTCCCCTGGTTTCAAAGACTTTCCAAATGGGAAGCAACTAATACAAATAAATAACTAAGGTGAATCGATTCTATTTTGCAACAATACAATATATTTAATGTTAATATTTATTAAACAGTGTTTTTTTTCGCATGTTATATTTACAACTAACGAGTTTGTTTATTTATAAAATATACATCAAATCCCCGTACCACTTAGAAGATCAGTGGCTCTTTATAAATTGGGAAATTGTCAAAATTTAAACTTTTGGCTCTTAGGTCTCAAAAGGTTGCCGACCCCTGCACTAGATATATTTTAATTCAACTAACAACCGAACACCCCTATTTTAAGACGAGTCCACTGGCAGATACTATAATCACTATTGTAATCCCCATAACTTTTAGAACACGAGTCAATGTGTGGTTTAACTCAGAGGCGTAGCGATGAGGGGGGACGGGGGGACACGACATATGTCCCCGGGCGCCGACCTTAGGGCGCGCCAATATGGGTTGTAAAAACAAATTAAAATGTCATTTTAGCTGCATTTTTGCTATTTGAGGGGGGGGGTGCAAATCGAAAGTTTCAGAGGGGGGGGGGGGGTGCAAATTGAAAATTTGCTCACGAGGGGGGCGCCAGATTGAAAGTTTGTCCCCGGGCGCCGAGCAGGGTCGCTACGCCTCTGGTTAAACTGGCTCACATCAGTTCACTTGGTCCAGTTAAAACTATTTAACTATACAGTGGTAATTAAGAATCTTAGCATCCCCTAGAGAAAATGTACGTAGTTTCAAGGCCATGATTGCTACCAGGTGCGGTTAAGTTTCGTGTCTAGTGGTGACGTGGGTTACTTGTTGCCTCTCAGGTACAACACCTGTCCCGTAAGTGGTTAAATGTGCTCGGCTCAAATGACAGGACATTCATCAGATGACACGTTCGTTAAATGACATGACATTCATCAGATGACATATTCATTAGATGACACGATATTCATCAGATGACATATTCATTAAATGACACGACATTCATCAGATGATACATTCGTTAAATGACACGGCATTTATCAGACGACACGACATTCATCAGATGACACCATCAGACGACATGGCATTCATCAGATGATACGAAACTCTAATTTTAAACCAACTCATACAATATATTTTACACGAATGGCCAATCTACTCAACCAATCACTTTCACCCCCTTCAACTTCTACTCTCAACCACTTCAATATCAAAAGTCGACTTGACCTCACTTTAAGCTAGACGGCGGACAGTCCAGTATCTAGTTTCTAGATCTAGAACATCTCGTAAAAATGTAATGATGCAACTAATAACTGTGCTAGTATAATTTTAGTTGATAATTATTTCAATAATTACGGTTACGCGGTTTGATTTATATTTTAATACCGTCTTTTGGGGTCTGGGATAGGTCAGGGTTATGACACGGTTTAGGTTAGTGTTTAAAAAGATAAACTTTTTTTTTTAACTTATCAATGAAAACACTGCCAACGTTGTGTCACACTGATAGGCCTATCAATCAGTTTTAGCTTCACTAAAAAATGGTTTCCCGTGGAGAGACTTTTAATTTTGAAAATATACAAAACAACAGCTTGGTATGGAACTGGTTGATAAACATTTAACTGGAGATGGAAATAGATTGTACAAGGGATATTTAAATGTGCAACAGGAAATTATAAGGACTGTAGGCTCTGTAGGCATAGAGTTTGACAGCTGACATTTGACCGGACAATTGACATTGAAATGGCCAGTCAATGAACAATGGCCGTAGAACTGGACGATGACCGTCATACTGGAGGATGTAGATAAACAAACGACAACAGCACGGTACGCGAGGGTCCGGTGTGGGATGATTCAAGCGGAAGTCCTCAAGGAAATTATACCAGTGTGTATATGTGTGATTGTATTTGTTGGGGGGGGGGGGGGGCTGTTGTAAGATTTGAGGCTGTGTTACTGTAGGTCTAACCCAACAGCAGCCCTTAGTCATTACATATTACATATTAGCTTTACAAAACAACAACATAGCCGTATAGGACAGGTGGTATAACGCACATTTACTCAAACCCCTGTCGCTGGGTTAGTAATTTCAAGTGTCGATATGGGCAATACTGACAATACTAAAAATAATATTAATTTAACAGTTTTAATAGTTGACACCGGATGTACGGTAGTGCAAGTGGGAGGAGGGGGGGGGGCTAAACTATTTATATTCCACAGGGCCAAGGCCGACTCTAATATTCTATTAAAAAACGAATCAGAAATGCGAGTGTCTGATAATGTTTCAGCAAACAAAAAAATACGAATCTGCTTTAAAGATGGATGTTCGGCTACTGTCGATGCTAGCCATGTATCTAACCCACGTCCTAGTCTAGCTCTAACCCTAACCCTAACCCACGTCCTAGTGTAGCACTAACCCTAACCCACGTCCTAGTGTAGCACTAACCCTAACCCTAACCCACGTCCTAGTGTAGCACTAACCCTAACACTAACCCACGTCCTAGTGTAGCACTAATCTAACCCACGTCCTAGTGTAGCACTAACCCTAACCCTAGTGTAGCACTAACACTAACCCTAACCCTAACCCACGTCCTAGTGTAACCCTAACCCTAGTGTAGCACTAACACTAACCCTAACACTAACCCTAACCCACGTCCTAGTGTAGCACTTACCCTAACCCTGACATTACATTACAATAATGCTAACAGCTAACACCCACGTATCACGTGAGTCCATAGTAGGACACAGAGGGAAAACTCCCAGAAATAAGTCAGTTGCCTACCTACTTTTGTCCACAACAAATGGGACATAACTAGGTTTTCAACTAGTGTCAGGCGCACCACGACACACGATCCGACAGACACAACAATGGGACGATTAAACGTAACCTCCATACTTCGACAACCCGCTATACGACACACAATCCTACATGACACATCAACAGAAGCCTATGGTTATACAAAGACACACCAACAGTCCCTCGCTACAACGAAACACTAACAGATTTATACAAAGACACACCAGCAGACGTCTATGGTTAGACACACCAACAATCCTTCTATACTACGACACACTAACAGATTTATACAAAGACACACCAGCAGAATCTCTATACAACGACACTCCGTTTTTTTATTGAACTACACACGTACAAGTACATTGTGGGGCTGTAGGCCCATCTGGCTACCAACAGGAGGGGGGAGGTCAGGTCAGGCAGGTCTGATGAGGTCAGTTAATGAATGGGTCAGGCTGATTACGTGCTGTGCTTAGCACTATAAATACACGCACAATAAGCTTTACTACAAACTACGTGATTATAAATGTACTGAAAATGATTTGATGAAAACAGCTTCTCGCTAAAAGTAAAACTCGCTACAAACTTTAAGTGTCTGTAAATTAATTAGAAGAAATACCGTTAAGTTGTGGATTTGAACCCAACACCGTTACATATCTATAATCGACTTCCCCAATTCAATGTTTTATGAAGTTTTGTTAGTGCAATGAATGTGCTTCGACGTGTATTAACAGTAACAAAGACCCTAACCATTTCCTTTTTTTTTTATTTTCTAGCTAAAAACAAAACAGATCTAGATCTAGATCTAATAATTAATAATTTTAACAAGTATGCTATTTTTGTTTTAATCAATCATTTTTATGAACTTGTCAAGACAGCTTTTAATATAGATCTGGAGCTCTTCTAGAGATATTTAAAAAAAAGTTAATTAATACCAATTAATACTTAATACTGATTAGGCTAAATAAATAATTAATTAGCCTAAATATAATTAATTATTAATTAGGCCTAAATGAACAGCGAACACTCGAGACATGTTACTAATCTATTTTAACTAAAATTATACCTTTAGTCGACTCAACTAGACATCTAGTCTAGATTCTAGAATCTAGATATCTCATCTAAATTAAATTCATAAATTGATAACTACAAATCTAAAATAATTGATTGATTATTTCAAAAATTAATAATTAAATTACCGTTACCTGACGAATAGAATATGACAACGTTAGTACTGGAACACACGATCAAGTATCCGTTTCTTTCGTTCAATCCTGGACAAAAACAACGTCTATCCCCGACCAGGGAGGAAAAGTATGCTACAGGTTGACACTACACACCTGTGACGTAGCTTGTTTTCACTGTACGTGTCAGGAGCACCTGGTCCAGTGCACACGTAGGTTGGTGTAGAAAAGTTGTGGCGATTTTAAAAAAAATCAGTATACGTTTACCTTAAGTATATTACTCTACTTAAGATAAATATAGAGTTCTTGGTTTAATTTATAGGTATGTTACAGATTTCTATCCGTAGTTAAACTTTTTAAATTGTTTTCCAATTTAAGAAAATGTAAATAGAAACAAGCAGCCCTAGCAGACGACGAAGAGACAACACACTCAGAGTTGTCTTCCGCTGGTCGCGACCCACTTCCCGTGTTGTGTGATGACGCGCTAGAAGGCCGCGTGCTGAGACACAAGGTCAAACGTCAAACCCGCTCCTGTGACACGGGGTGACCTCATTCCGGAGGTGTCGGATGTAGTCGCATGTGTATCGCCTCCTGGCGTGGCCCTGCCGGTTTTCTACCGGATCACTCTTCGTTTGACTGACACGCGATTTATCTTCCGTAATTTAGCGAACACTGATGTGGTCCACACACGCAATGGGTCGATCTTTACACATAAACCAACATTTAGCCTGATTAGAGAGAACTAATGATGAAATAAAATGTGTTCAAATTAGATTTTTTAAATAATTGTTAGACACGTTTTCTAGTTACCGTTAGCATGTAATGTTGAGCATCAAATGACCGGATGCTGTCGCATTTTAATTGGGTTTTCCGCAAGGTATCAGATGATTGTCTAGACAATCCTAATCATGGTTTTCGTAGACATTCTAGGGTTTCTTTCAGACATTTTTGGGGTGGGGGACGCTCTTTTAATTTTCTGGGGTAGGGCGGACACTGGTTAAAGTATAATTTTTCTATGTCAATTGTATATTTTATCTCTTTCGATCGTGGAGGAGAGGGGGGGGGGGACGATAGACGTGCTCCTTTGGGGCAGCGGCCCCCCCCCCCCCCACCCCACCGGTGAGTTGTCTGAAAGAAACGAGAGACATCCTATTTATGATAAGGATATCCTTGTAGGGATAGGGCCTTAAATCTTATTTAACCGTCTATGATTGGCATCTTCCATCAGTAGGAGAGCACCTAATCCCATGATTCGTCATACCAGTTGCCATGGTGATAGTACCACGTATAGACCTAATACTAGTAAATAAGTTACATACGAAATTTCATCCACCTTACTGAAACGGTACTCAGTCTATATAGAGACAGACAGACAGACAGACAAGATTGCAAAACTGGATTTTCCCCACCTAATTTTGATTTTTGCACGATTAAAATAATCATCTATGCTCCTGAGACGAGAAAGTAAAAATTTTTAAAAAATTCTCAAAAACTTTACTTAGATTTTTTATTTGTTTTTAATTTCTCGTATAGAGAAAGTCTTGTAATCGTGCAAAAAAAAATCGAGATTTTTACAAATCTCGACGTTTTACACCTCACTGATAAGGAAAAACATAATTTTGCAATCTTGTCCGTATGTCTGTGTGTCTGTCTGTCTGTGTGTAAACACGATAACTTGAGTACCGTTACAGCTAGGTTGATGAAATTTCATATATATTTTATCAAAATCGTAGATCCTGATCAACTTTTGAGCGATTTCCGATAGCCGGAAGTGGTACTTTTTCTACTTTGAATTTCTCAAAAGCCTATAACTTGAGTACTATTTCAGATAGATAAATGAAATTTCACATGTAAGTAAACGATCTAATTCTCTGCCTTCTGTCAAATTTTGAGTAATTTCCGTTGACCGGAAGTACTAATTTACTCTATTTTCGATTTCTCAAAAACGCATGTAAATTTATAAAGTACTAATAATATTGCGCACTATTATGCACATTTTGTTTTGGCGTTCGCTTGGTGCGCAATTCTTTTTTCTATGAGATTCTATTCTATTTTAAAAGTTTAAGAAATTAAAAATCTTGTCTATATTTCAAGTTATATAAGAATATTCGAGAAAGTTTAGGGGAGATCACTCCCGGTTTATTTATTTGTTGTTGACAACTCGGAATTGAGATTTTAAAATTTCTCTTCTGTTTTTTGTTGAAATTACTAAATAAAAATAAACAATTTTCCTTTACACCAAATATAAAGCAAACACTTTCTCTCATCAACAAGAAACCCGAGCCCTAGTAGAAAAAAAAACAAATAAATCAGGCTCAGATAACCCACTAGATCTAGTCCCCCGGGAAAACGTATGCACTACATCGTATCCCATACCTTTGTTTACCGATTGGTTTGTCGCACGATACAAGGCGCGATCACCCGCTCATACTGCTATACTGTAACCATAGTAACGGATCGGAAGTAGATTGAAACGTCATTAGCGAGATAACAGATATCTGATTGTAAAAAAAAATGTCCAGGGGTTGAAATAAGAATTTAGACGTTGGTGGGACAAGCTTTTATGACATCTGCAATATATACACACACAACACACACACACACACACGCACACTCACATACAAACATACACACACACAGAGGTTGAGATTTACCAAATCTGTTGGTTTTTATTAGATTTGAGTTTTAGCGCAATTTCCATACGGACAATTGCGATTATTAACTCGACATTTCTGGTGATGGATGGATGGATGTGCTCAGCTTTAAGTCGTATCTCCTCCTCAACGAAGCAATATCGAGGACTAGTTCCAAAAGCAAAAAAAGCAAATATGTTAAGCAAGTTCCGAGAATGATTGTGGGCCAAAAAAATTCCCGGAATTCCTTCCTGGATTTTCCGGAAAAGCCAAAAAACATGCAGTTTTTTGCCCATATCTCGGCAACCAGACCATTTAGCGACTTGAAACATTTACCAATCGATTCCTGCCATAATTTAGAACAATATTGCCGAAGAAAGTTTTCAAAAATATCCTCTCGTTCGGTCACAAAAAATTAATTAAGAATTTTTAAACTGAGCATCGTGTAAGCCTAGGATGATATTTTTAATTTAAACTGAGCATCGTGTAGGTTTTTAGCGCAAAAAAATATCCTTTCGTTCGGTCACAAAAAAATTAAAAATTGTTATGGATAACATAAAGAAATTACGCTTAAATTGTCACTAGACTTTTTATTAACTTGTTTTATTGGAATGATGTGGTTCAGCGATAGAGCACAAGAAAACCACGTGTTGGATAGAATGTGAGTCGATTCTATTTATGTAAGATCAAGGCGACTATAACTCTACACCTGTCGTGCCCATATACGTGTACATCTGACGTGGCCATATACTTGTACACCTGACGTGCCCATATACTTGTACACCTGACGTGCCCATATACTTGTACACCTGACGTGCCCATATACTTGTACACCTGACGTGCCCATATACTTGTACACCTCACGTGGCCATATACTTGTACACCTGACTAGCCCTAATATACTTGTACACCTGACGTGATACTTGTACACCTGACGTGGCCATATACTTGTACACCTGACTAGCCCTAATATACTTGTACACCTGACGTGATACTTGTACACCTGACGTGATACTTGTACACCTGACGTGATACTTGTACACCTGAAGTGGTCATATACTTGTACACCTGACGTGCCCATATACTTGTACACCTGACGTGATACTTGTACACCTGACGTGGCCATATACTTGTACACCTGACGTGGCCATATACTTGTACACCTGACGTGGCTATATACTTGTACACCTGACGTGGCCATATACTTGTACACCTGACGTGGCCATATACTTGTACACCTGACGTGGCCATATACTTGTACACTTGACGGAAGGAATTAAATCAACAAGACCAGTTTACTGTTTGCCTTTCGGCTTGGCCGAGACTTCAAAATCAATCGATACAATTCCCAGATCTAGAAGTTAAACGTTAAACAATCGCCCCTGGTTATTCTAGTATCCCCCCTCCCCCCCTCACACTCAACAATAATTTAACAATAAAATGTGCCCACTAAATACTCAACTTTTATCTAGTACCCTGACCCTGTGACCCCATTACATAAAAAATAAAAATTGCTCGTATATCGATTTAAAAAGTGCAATTTTGTTTGTTATCATAGACGTTAAACAATCTGTAGAAAAATATAATCTACAAATAAATATTTAATTACGTAGTTAATGGGGTTTGGAGGGGGCGGTATTGAAATAGCTGCTTTCATCATTTGATACCTAAGAAAGATAACTTTGTTAAATTGAATGGCTATATTTTATTGTGGTAGCTTCCCCTTGATTGTAAATCGAAATGGCCGGCACGTTGTTTTGAATTGGAGTGGTGGGCCTTGGTTGTAGCTATGGGAATTGGAGAGCTGTTCTGTGTTGAGTGTTGAGTTATTGGCCTTTAATTAAAATCATGGTTGTTGGCTGGAGTTGTGGGCTTTGGAACATTTTATTATTGATGTCCTAGTGGTAATCTAGTGGTGATTCAATGGTCTATCTTTACAGTTGAATAGTTGAATACCACTTTCTGTCCAATATTGCTATCTCATGGTACCTTAAAACGCTGTAAAAGAAAAACCAACCCTGATCTAACGAAATCTCGCTAATATCTCGCGAGGCTTTGACCGGAAGTGAACATCTGCTTCCGATAATCGTCTCGTGCCAGATATGACATGGCTGGTACACAAAGAATTATCTTCATTTTTTTAATTGATTTTTTTTTATATAATCACACTAGATTAAATTTGTGATTGGTATTGTGTACATGACAAGACATATTTATAACTGAAACATTATGCTTACATTTCTAAGCACCATACTAGATGCTCAGTTGAAATGTTGAACTATTGTTATGTTCAATACGACGACCCAGAGGCGTAGCGCGGGGGAGGGGGGGTGGGTACATATGTCCCCAAGCGCCGATCCTAGGGGCGCCAAAATGGGTTGGGAAAAAAACTAAAAGCTCATTTTAGCTGCAGTATTGAATTATAAATATAAATAATATATGGGGGTGGGGGCGCCAACTTGAAAGTTTGTCCCCGGGCGCCGGGAGGGGTCGCTATGCCCCTGTGACGACATAAACCTGTAAAAAAAAAGAGATAATTTGTATCACATTTTACACCCCACCACCTAAACAAGCATCATTTCAATTAAACAATTTTAAAAACATTTTTATGACGTTAATAATTTTAAACATTTTACACCACAGAACATAAAACAGAGGAAATTTCAAACTCTTTTTAACCACCTGAACCATTTTTACATTTAAATGCTTGGGCATCCAGTCCAACCATCTGAACATTGTTTAAATACACAGGCATCCAGTCCAGCTATCTAAACCATGTTTAAATACAAAGGCATCCAGTCCAACCATCTGAACCATGTTTAAATACACAGGCATCCAGTCCAACCATCTCAACCATCCTTAAATACACAGGCATCCAGTTCAACCATCTCAACCATCCAGTGGCGTAGGCAGGGGGGGTTAGGGGGGGGTCATAACCCCCCCCCCCATAGACCCCTCGGTATATATAAAAAGTATGAGGGGGGGTGCAAATCGAAAGTTTGAGGGGGGGTGCAAATCGAAAGTTTGAGGGGGGGGGGTGCAAATCGAAAGTTTGAGGGGGGGGGGGGTGCAAATCAAAAGTTTGAGGGGGGGGGGGGTGCAAATCGAAAGTTTGTCCCCGGGTAAAAATTGGAACCCCCCCCCCCCCTCTTGAGACGATCCTGGCTACGCCACTGCAACCATCCTTAAATACACAGGCATCCAGTTCAACCATCTCAACCATCTTTAAATACACAGGCATCCAGTTCAACCATCTCAACCATCCTTAAATACACAGGCATCCAGTTCAACCATCTGAACCATCTTTAAATACACAGGCATCCAGTTCAACCATCTCAACCATCCTTAAATACACAGGCATCCAGTTCAACCATCTGAACCATCTTTAAATACACAGGCATCCAGTTCAACCATCTGAACCATCTTTAAATACACAGGCATCCAGTTCAACCATCTCAACCATCTTTAAATACACAGGCATCCAGTTCAACCATCTGAACCATGTTTAAATACACAGGCATCCAGTCCAACCATCTGAACCATGTTTAAATACACAGGCATCCAGTCCAACCATCTTGAACCATGTTTATATTTAAATACACATGCTTCCAGTCAAAGTTTTTAGTCAAACCTTTTTGTCAACAAACACAAATGAGTTCCTATGTGTACGTACTTGTTGATCTGCATACAAACTGCATTATGTCTGCTCTTGTTGCTATCCTCCATAATATTATAAGACAACATTCGGGCTCCACCATGCATTGTGTCCCATATTTTATAGATTATCTCCCCTACAATGCACACTCAAAAAAAAATTCTATATTTACTCACAAGTTCACTCAGCTAATTACATCATAAAAACATAAAAAGTTATTTTTAGAAAATCCATTAGAATGATCTCCCAAAGCAAAGAGCGCACGTTTGTGTTCAGGTTAAGCTGACTCTGTTACGTAACGGTATTAAAACAGTGCTCACTGGATCCTCTTGGTGAAATATTCGGATTTAAATATTTTTAAAGAATGTTGCGGTGCATTTATTCATTACAGTTTTAAAACAATTATTGCTGATGTTGATTGGTTGGAGGGGGGGGGGGTCATAAGTAATGTTTGTGGGGGTATCTTTATCTATTATTGTTGGGGAGCTATTTATATGAATATAGGGGAGCTATGTATATTAATATTGGGGAGCTATGTATATTAAAGTAGGAGAGCTATAACATGTATTACTTGTAGGGGAGTTAAGCCTATTTGTATTATTTGTGGGGGGGGGGTATATGTATTATTTTTTATATTATTACGGGGGTGAATTGTGTAATCTTTTTGGGTGGGGTGCACCAATTGTCGTGGTTCAATTTACTGTTTATGATTTGCCTCTGTTTTTGGTTTATTAAAGCTATTTTTAAGATCAAATCTAAATTAAAAATTCGCGAGTTTACCAATCTTTCATTGTTGTAATTGATAATGTAATTAATAATGTAATTAATAATCCGCCTGGCATTTGTAATTGACCACTGGCTAGGGGGATAACGGTGAGATAACGTGAGATAAAGTTCTTGTAAAAAATTGATGAGGCTTATCTCAGAGACCGGAAGACCCGTGGGTCGACCCGTGGGTTGTTATGTGAAGGTTGTCACTCCAGCTTATCTTGTCTGCTTGAGGTTCGACCAGAAAGCTGGAGGGGGGGGGGGGGGCGACCAGAAGATGTGGCTTTACAAAGATTGCTCAATACATGCTGGCTGAGGGGGGGGGGGAGAAGGAGAATGGGGGGGGGGGATAAAGGGAGATAATCTTGAGCTATTCATGGAAGGAGTAATCGAATGGGGTGTTGTGATTACATTAAAATAGGATCAGTAAAGATTTTAATAAAACGCGAGACGAGGGAAAGGGGGGGGGGTTCGATCCCTGAGTTTAAGACAGGGTGGATCTATGGGTAAAACGGTCATCGGGGAAAAGGTCCGTCAATCAAAGAATAATGAGACCCATATGTTTATTTATTTTTCCCATTGAATTTGAACTATCTGTATATAGGATATCAGCTGGTCAAATAAAAATTGTTGAAGGTTGATTTCTTTTCGATAGATATTTCCTCATAAACGTGAATGACTGGGGCAGAAATAAAAATGGTATAAGTTTGTTAACACGTAGTCTTAAACATTAATGAAATTAATCAAAGATTTAGTTTGAAGACAAAACGCCATGTCCCACATTGTCTAGATGTCTTCACATAAAACAAAACCAGATGTGCTAGTGGTTCTTTATTTCTAGCCAGCGAGACGTAGTATCTAGGCATAATAAATAACAGTGATGGTATAACTACTACTTAAACGGGGTATAGGTTGATAATATGTACACAAATACAGTAAATATGAACATCTATTAAATACATTGATTTGGAACAATTATTTGTACAAATCACGTGATCAGTTAAGTTGAAAACAAACAAACAATACCAAATTAGGTAACCTATTGTGTGCGTTATAAACTTTTGAAATAGTTGTGTGCGTAAGAATACAATAAAAGAGAAGCCAGTACACGTTTCAATATTTGTTGCAATGTAGTTTGTGCTTGTATTTCCTAAAACTGAAATACAGTGTGTGGGCTTTAAGGGGGGGGGGGGAGTACAACCAAGCAGGTGCTGAAGTGAATAATTTCTCGTGAAAAAATGAACACCTAATCATTCATGAAAATTAATCAGAGAATATCTTGAGGCTTGTGAATTAATTTTTAAAACGCGACCTGTGTAAATCCATTCATCATCCAAATTATTCCTGCTATTTGTAGTCAGTAATTTTTTTTTTAAATCTACAAGCAACACTACCGGTTGGAGTCAACTCCATCTCTACAACACAGGGACCGCAACTTCCGCCGGAAGTCTAGATTCGATGCCCAGATGATGAAGGGACTGATGGTTGGGTTGATGAAGTAGAGTCTGTACGCCATGTTGAGGGCGTTCAGCGTGAAGGCGTTCTCGCTGTAGTCAAAGTCAATGATGAGCAGGCTCAGCATGCTCGCCACGAAAAACGGCACGTACGACACGATGAAGGTGAAGGTCAGGAGAAATGCCGTGCGGGTGATGGCGCTCTCTAGCGTCGTCTTTTGGTTTTTGACTTTGACCATGGAGCGGACAGACGTGGCTCTGGACAGCATGCTCGGCTCTCGTCTGAGTTCTTTTGGAACCTGTCTGGTACCGGCGTCTGTGGTTTTAGAACCGTCTGAGATTATAGCGTTGTGCAGAGGCTGAGTTTCTATGTCTTGTTGAACTTGGAGCTGAGAAAAGTTAAAAGTTGACTTTAAGGAAATATGACTTAGGTTGTTTGTGTTATTGTTTACGTTGACCGGATGTTGACTCGAAGCTGACACGGGTAGTGTGTTGCTATCTACAAGTGTGTGGTTGTGTTCTACACAGACTTCTACAACTTCCACAATCTTTGAGACTTTCTGCGGAAGCTCGAGTTCCTGTCGCGCCGTTTCCGATACAGCTTTGATGTTTCCGTTTAGAAGAGTTTCTTTAGAGCTGCTCTCTCCACAAACAACATGTAAATCCGACGCTTCACATTGTGACGGCTGGTGATAGATCTGCTCCGTGTTGTCAAATCTTTCCTGGGTATCGAAGGACGGGACTGCGTGAATCTCTGGCAACGATTCCACACCCGACGTTCTGCTTTGGTTTTGCTCCAGCGTCTCAAACATTGGCGTCTCTAAGGGAGCGAGAATCGGAAAGTCCAGGACGTGGTTCGATGAGATCAACGGCTCGATGATCGATTTCGTTGCGGCCGGTTGTATCGGATCGATTTGTTTGTAAACATCCGAATTTCCGGCTTCGTTGCTGCTTCCGGGAATATCCAATGACAACACCTCGTGATCGGAATGCTCGTGGATGGTGTGTATGACGTCACGTAGCTCAGCCACGGTGTTGTTGAGGGTGGTGTGGGTGTTGGCCGTGGTGTGGGCGGCCACCGCCATCCGGCTGACCTTGACGATGCGCCAGATGCGGTAGTAGCAGATGATGACGGTGAGGACGAGGGCGATGAAGGCCGCGCCCAGGAAGATGTAGAACCCCAGCTGCCACCCGGTGTGAGCCACGTCGTCGCCGATAGAACAGTCCCGGCCCACGACCCCCGGGACTCTTGTGGGCGTGGCCTTCATTCCAAACACGACAGGACCTGTAGGGGTATCTGATTGTTAGAGGAAATTTGACACGGCATTTTGATTCAATGTAACATTTGGCTTTAATTTTGATTCAATACAAGATTTGGCTTTAGTGTTTGATTCAATGATGCAAGGTTTGACTTGGGTTTTATTCAATGCAAAATTTGCCTTTAGTGTTTGATTCAATGCAAGGTTTGGCTTTAGCTTTTAATTCAATGCAAGATTTGGTTTTAGTGTTTGATTCAATTTCTATAATGTTTGATTCAGTGCAAGATTTGGCTTTATTGTTTGATTCAGTGCAAGATTTGGCTTTATTGTTTGATTCAGTGCAAGATTTGGCTTAGTGTTTAATTCAATGAAAAATTTAGCTTTATTGTTTGACTCAATATGTTCGATCTGGCTAGATACTATATATATAAGATATATAGATTAACCCCCCCCCCCCCCCGAGAAAAATGTCTGAAAGAAACCCAGACTGAGCAAAGTGTAAGACAACTGTCTAGTGAGAGTAGTCCCCGGGAGAGAAAAATATCTGAAAGAAAACCCAGACTGAGCTAGTGAGAGTAGTAATGACCATACCTAACCAGGCGACGCCCACACTGCAAATCAAAATGGCGGCTATCCCTCTCAGACTGGTGCCACTGGTCGTCGACGTCATCCGGGCGGAAGTGGCGGCCCGCAGACGATACACCGTCAGGGTGCCGAGCGCCAGCACCGAGCCCACGATGGTGAACATGTTGCAGAAGCGCGTCACCTTGCAGGCGACGACGGACGGGTACATGTACATGTACCGCAGGTCCGCCATGTCGGCCGTGATGCACACTGCGCAGGCCATCAGGTTGACCGAGCAGACGAGGATGAAGAGATTGTTCTGGAAGTTGCGCTTCATCCGCGAAGCGAAGAGGTAGACCGAGAGGGAATTCCCGATGGTCCCGATGATCGAGAACGAGGCGCATATCGAGATGGTTGGGATGAGCTTCTGGTAAACCTCGTCGTTTATTTTCGATAAAATGGCCGACTTCTCGGCGTCCGTTAGATTTGATAAAGTGCTAGGGGTCATGGTGGTTAATCCAAACTGCCAGGGTTCATGGTGGTTAATCCAAACTGCCAGGGGTAATGGTGGTTAATCCAAACTACCAGGGGTCATGTTGGTTAATCCAAACTGCAAGGGGTCATGGTGGTTAATCCAAACTGCCAGCGGTCATGGTGGTTAATCCAAACTGCCAGGGGTCATGGTGGTGTAGTTCACTCCTTACCCCCGGTGTGCCAGATATTTTACCCGTCCACCATCATTGTATGGTAGTGGTTGAACACGGAGACTAGAAGAACGTCTGCAAAAAAAAAAAACAAATGCCAATGTGGCAAGCTGTTTATTACATAAAATGTTATATTTTGCAACAATGAATAATAATGTAATGATTTGGAAATAGATTAACAACGCAAGATGAATTGCAAATACAAGTTACCCAGATTAGTATGGATCTGGAATTTATCTATAATGTTATTTATTTACAAGGGGTGGGGGGGGGGGGGGGTTCATAAAGTGTGATGACCCACTTTTATATTTTACATAAAGTAATTTTACAGTTTTAATTATTACTTCACACTTCACGTTTTTAAAAGACTTTTCCACCCCTAAATTGCAATAGAAATTGATTTATTATACTCAATTTTGAATTAGCTCAGTAAATATTTCAGGAAAAAAAAAGCAAAAAATTGAATTTTGGGAGGAGGGAATATCGTTTTTAAAAGTTTAAAAGCGTGACTTCGTTCATGGATGACCCTTTCCAACAACAATATAGTTAGCATTAGGTCTGGGTATTTGAACCCCACAACAATAAATCTAGCATTAAGGCTAGTTATTTAACCACTTACCTAAATTTACCCAATTGAATCGTCTCCAGTTTTGATCTGCTGTCGTGTTTCTGAAGTCTACACGAAGTCTTACAGGTGTGTTTTCTCTCCCTCTGCCATTTACTCCACCTCTCATACACGAGATTAGGCCCCAATCTGAAAAACTTTTTCAATGCGTGCGGTTCGCTATCTTGTCATCGATTCTCTGAAATAATCGAATACCGCAGTATTCCGCTTTTTGTGACCCATTAAAGTGATAACCTGTCAAGCTTCGATACGCCGAGTGTTTGGCCGCGATACGATTCAACATTTCGATACGCAGAGTGTTTGGTTACGATACGATTCAACATGGTCTGTGGATGAAAGGGCTGGGGCGCCATAGCAGCGTAACCAGACGCGTGAAGGGGGTCCCCCACAGTTCTGCTCTATTCGATGATGGTTGTGGAAGAATGTTTTTGTTGAGTCACGTGATTTGGTGCTGATTGCCATTTCGAACAGTTGTGTGAGCTCTTAAGGTCACTCTCCAGGTGTGAAGTTACGGTTGTTTGTTAGGAGATAAAAAGAGTTTTTTTTGTGGTAGGAGTGTTGGGAGCACGAATGTGTAGAGGGGTAGGGGCGGACCGGGTGGCACCTGACCTAGAGACGCCATTGTATGATAGTCTAGTTTTATGGGGTAGGGGCGGACCGGTTGGCACCTGACTTAGAGACGTCATTGTACGAGAGCCTAGTTTTATGGGGTAGGGGCGGACCGGGTGGCACCTGACCTAGAGACGCCATTGTATGATAGTCTAGTTTTATGGGGTAGGGGCGGACTGGTTGGCACCTGACCTAGAGACGCCATTGTATGATAGTCTAGTTTTATGGGGTAGGGGCGGACCGGTTGGCACCTGACCTAGAGACGCCATTGTACGAGAGCCTAGTTTTATGGGGTAGGGGCGGACCAGTTAGCACCTGACTTAGAGACGCCATTGTACGAGAGCCTAGTTTTTATGGGGTAGGGGCGGAGCAGTTGGCACCTGACTTAGAGACGCCATTGTACGAGAGCCTAGTTTTATGGGGTAGGGGCGGACCAGTTAGCACCTGACCTAGAGACGCCATTGTACGAGAGCCTAGTTTTACAACCGAGGGGAGAAATGTTAAGGAGTTTAGAGGCCAAAAAAATGTTCACTTAAAAGGCCTATTTTATCATCAACGAGTCTTCAGAATTTATTAAAAATTGTATTGTATTATTGTACAGAATCATATTTCTCTAAGACAATAACATTATTTTTAAACTGATATAAGTGAATGTCAACAGTTGTTGGAAAAATTCCTAAAAGTAAAGTTACAGGATTATGTGAGTCAAGTCCTCTTCCCCCCCCCCCCCCCCTTTCTGTGTCAGTCTGAGGAGGGAAGTGTACATCTCCAACACAGTAAAATGTTACATACTGATGGTAGTTTGGGCGATATAACAAAACTAATTAGCCACAACTACTTCATTCACAATAACAAAAGTATTGGAAACAAAAGCTTGTTTTGGCTGTATATGTTTTTTTTTATTGTACAACTATTGACCAGAAATTTGTGTTTACAATTTCAACAATTCAGCTGTGTTAATTCTATGTACAGCAGTGGGTAGGGGAGACAACTAGCAAAACATAGTTGTGTCCCTTGCTTTAATCTCTTCTATGGTAAATCTGAGCCAATGAAATCAGGTCAGTTGTCCACTTGAAATTGTTTTCACTACTCATATTTTAAGCAAGCTGGTATAATATTTTTAAATGAAATCACACTAGTTAAACTGTACATAGTTTACAACAGTCTGAAATAACACTTGCCAGGATTTTTAGAAAACTTTTTGTAGGTCTAAATTTATTTTTTTAAATTCATTTTTTCTAAGCTTAATTCTAGCAACTACATCAAAACATATAGGGTAATGTTCAAATATATTTTTTTAGAAATCAGATCAGCATTACAGTAATTTATATTTGAGATTTTGAACATTTGTTTATAAATATCTGTTTTAATATTTAAAATTACTGTTGATACAAAACAAATTAGAAAAATTACACATCTTAAAAAAGTATTAAACACGGCATATCTATTCCTGTTTGAACAAAATACATTTTACTTTTGAAACGCACAAAACGAAAATATCTACTACAATGACTTATCAAGTCTGCAAAGTCTAAAGACATGGCCCATAACTAGTTATAATAAATCTAAGAAGCTGTAAATATTTTAACATGAATCATAAGCTCTGGTGACTTTAACCAAACCACCCACTCACAATGTACCAGCGGTGGTTTAGTTAAATTTAAAGCTGCACCATCTATGTACAAGATTAGCATAAATAAAACATGTCTTGAATACTTAGAAAATTGTGAGTTCAATACATCACAAGCTGGTGAAAGATTTGGGGTTAGCTATACAAAACACAAACAACTGATTCGTTTCATACAGTCAACAAAGTAATGAGTCGTAATAAATGGACAATCAACAGCAGTTAATAAAAAATTTCTAGTCCCCACCATAACACTGGACTGATATATTACAGCTATATTAATCTAAAGATAGTTTCGTTATTTTGTATGTATAAAATACAATTATATAGCAAAACATTACAATACTTAGATTTCTTTCACTTTATAATTCAAATGGTTTTTCAACACATCTAAGTCATGTTAAGAAAACCCGGGAGAAAAATTCAACATAATTAGATGTTTTAGTTAAGAAAACCCTGGAGACAAAGACAACATAATGAGATGGTTTAGTTAAGAAAACCCTGGAGACAAAATCAACATAATTAGATGGATTAGCTATGTTGGAAGAGAAACACAACATGTCTGAACTTATTTGTGTAAGAGTTACAAAGATACAACTCTGCTAGGTTTAAATACACTATAGCTGAGATCATCTTGGTTAATGCTATCATCTACAAAACAAAACTTATGTACATGGAATTTACTGAGGGTTGTTAATACTACAACTTTAGTCCGATGCTTATACCTGGGTTGTCTAAGATGCAACCCATATTCAGACCACAACACCAACCTGTTGGACAACCTGCTCTACACTTTATGTGGTTAGAGAGTGGAATTTAAAAAAAATCAAAAAGAAGTATGGCACAACCGTAGCTTGTCATGGAGCTGAGGAACACGTTTAGGTTGTCATGGTAACCAGAACTGGTGGGTGGCATCAATTGGTGAAACAGCCCTCCTAGCCATCTTCAGGTTAACAATAGAAAAATGTCAACAAAAAATTCTAAGAATTTTTCATTTTTCAAAAAAAAATTTTAGGGCGACCTTAATTAATTAATTAATGCTGAGATTCATAAAATAGTTTGGCACTAGGTTTAAAATTTTTAAATACTTTTTTTTTAAAAATATGTATACTTTTTTCTATATATATATATTTATAAATATAAACAATAGGTGTGGATTATAAATCTACAAATGTAATAAATCTACAAATACATAACAAACAAATAAAAATGTTGCTACAAATATGTTTCTCACAGAGACAAGTGTACATACAATGTAGAAGATCACAACTCTGTAGAAAAAACTATAGGCTCAAACCATTGGGACAAAAAAAATTGATGCATTCTCCAAAACACACATGTAATTATACTTCTGTTTTCAATGCCAAATTTTTTAAAGACATTTATTTAAATTTTTAAAATGTTTTACATTCAACAAGCACTTGTGAAAAGACTGAATGGAATTACCTGTCAATATGTATTTAACTATGCCATGGTATTGTAATGGTTGGCTGATATATCACAGGACAAATGGGGGGGGGGATAAATAAATGTAGTGACATTTGTTTTTCTAGGCTTAGATAAATAAGTTGTTTTTTTTGTAATCAAGAGCCTGGTATACTCTTTCATATAATATTAACAAATTGTTTTTTTTTGTTTTGTTTTTTAATAATTCATGATACTGGGTTAGAGTAAAAAAATGTCCTACATGGCAAGTCATGCTGTCAGTGAGATTTGGGTTTAGATTGAAATGTAGTGTCACCATGAGGTGATACTAAACCAATCCAATTCACTGAGTTCCTGGTACATTATTGGTTGATAAACAACAGTATATATAAGAATCAAATATATTGATATATATTAGTATTACATGGGGTATACTCATAAAAAGTTTGGCAGAGCTAATTACTATAGTGCAGTTGCCATAATTTGGTCAATGTCAGGCTGACCCATACACAACATACAAAGTTAACCCGTAATCTGTACTAGATAACACTTCATATGAGAAGATCAACACATGCAAAAATCCATAATATGTGTACAGGTAGGTTCATTCTTTTTTTCTGTGCGTTTAATAACAATAGTTTTAATTTTCAAAAAAAAAATTAACACAATATTTTAAACTTCAAATGTAACATGATTATTTGTGCCACTGAAAATGTATTCTTAAAGCTGGCAGAGGTTAATGCTTATCTTTCATTCACACCAAGATGTGTGGGAATTTTTTCAGATAACAAATATAAAAATATATAATAAATAAATGTAGGACTTTAAGTCCCTAACATGGAATTCTAATCATACTTATTTATCTTTGGATATCATTTGTTCAAGTCTTTATAACAAACTAAAGCTTGAGCCTTATAAAAAAAAATTGTTCTTTAAAGATATATTTATCTCTGCAAGTTTGGTAAGTTGTAAATCACTGACAGAAGATGGCCATAACTGTTCCTACTTCTCTTCTTGACTGGCACCTTGTGTCCTTATACCTTCTTTTGATTTCTTCATGAAAGACTCCAGTACAGCTGCTGTCTCCGAGTGGTTGAACCTTCTAGCATCATCAATAGGCAAAAAACCCCATCTGTGAGTTCATAGACAATTTTTGGATGATTCAAGAAATAAAAATAATTTTTGAAAAAAAAAAAACGACCGTTTGTTTAGGGGATTGATAAAAGAGAGATTTGGTATAGTGTTTGGATGAAACAGAACCTAGACCACAAGAAACTTACATCAACACCTAAAGAAATTATTTTTAACATACTTAAGGGAAGCAAGTAGAGAATAATCCGAATTCTATGGGTTTTTTCCCTTTGATGATAGAGTCACAAAAAATAGTGTACAACTACCAACCTGTCCTTTAAGAATGGGTCACTGTTACATTTCTCCAACAAAAACCTGACGACAGAAAGGTGACCCTCTGCTGCTGACACATGTAAGGCTGTCCTGCCATCATAGTCTGCATGGTTCATGTCCATCCCCATCAAGGCACATCTGTCACAGGAAGGGTGTCAAATATGTCATGTCATGTCATGTCACAACAAACATATAGGCCTACACTGGTAGTGCCAGTATTAGATCTGTCACAGGAAGGGTGTCAAATATGTCATGTCATGTCACAACAAATATATAGGCCTACACTGGTAGTGCCAGTATTAGATCTGTCACAGGAAGGGTGTCAAATATGTCATGTCATGTCACAACAAACATATAGGCCTACACTTTAGTGGGTAGTGCCAGTATTAGATCTGTCACAGGAAGTGTCAAATATGTCATGTCATGTCACAACAAACATATAGGCCTACACTTCAGTGGGTAGTGCCAGTATTAGATCTGTCACAGGAAGGGTGTCACATATGTCATGTCACTTCACAACAAACATATAGGCCTACACTTCAGTGGGTAGTGCCAGTATTAGATCTGTCACAGGAAGGGTGTCAAATATGTCATGTCACAACAAACATATAGGCCTACACTTTAGTGGGTAGTGCCAGTATTAGATATGTCACAGGAAGGGTGTCAAATATGTCATGTCACAACAAACATATATGCCTACACTTCAGTGGGTAGTGCCAGTATTAGATCTGTCACAGGAAGGGTGTCAAATATGTCATGTCACAACAAACATATATGCCTACACTTCAGTGGGTAGTGCCAGTATTAGATCTGTCACAGGAAGGGTGTCAAATATGTCATGTCACAACAAACATATATGCCTACACTTCAGTGGGTAGTGCCAGTGTTAGAAAACCATTGAAAATGTTAATGGACAGAATGAACAGGAGAGCCACTGAAAGTGTCCATGTCAACACACTTAGTCATGGTAAAGCCTCGCTATGCTACTTTTTAATCCACAGTGTATCATGTTTTATAAATAAAAGTATTTTTTATCTTACTTTAGGTATTTTTATACCAAGTTTATTTAGTATTCTATTTTTAAAGCAAAATTTTCATACTAAATTTGTTAATTTTACACATTTAAACCCCCCCCCCCCCAATTATATATAACAAAATTTGAATATATGAACACCAAAATATATAGTGCAAATTGACGATCAGATCTTGTATCTAACAATTTTCTGACATGACCTGTTAAATCAAACAAATAGTTTGAGCACTAAATCTAAGAGTATGACAAAAACCCTACCTTCTGATAGCTGTTACATCCCCATTATAGGCAGCAAACAACACATTGACTACCAAGTTTGCCTGGGAGTCCACTTGTAACACACGTGGGTCCATTTTCCTGGGGGTGTGTCGCAGGTTATCATAGTTGTGGAAGTTGAAGCTTTTAACCAGGTCCTACATTTGTAGACATCATCACAATAATTAGTTTAGCTAGTAGGTATCTTATATTGTATATATTAGTAGACATTAGTCAGTTAAAGTTATGTCTTTAGGGGAAGAAGTGCAGCTTTTGACTTCATGGACACAGAATTTTAAAGGGAATACATGAACAGAACAATGCCTAGACACTTTTCATTACTCCCTGTTGATTTCAGGTACACAAATGACCGATGGCTAGTTTTTCTAGTATGTCATATGGTTTTATAACTTTGTCTCTTTTCTAATGTAATAAATTTTAAGGGACAGTTATAAATCTAAACATGAGAATTAGATGTGGAATCGGCTAAATTTCATCCAATTTAAATGCTATCTTAAACAAAGACAACTCCTAAATAAAATAAAAAATCACCTCACAAAACTGGATCCCTCTGCAACTGTTTCCATAGTGATCAAGGGGAGGTGACCACATGAAGATTCCCATAACATTGGGTACAACAAGCATGATGCCCCCTGAGACTCCAGACTTGCCTGGTAGCCCAACCTGTGAAATAAATCAAACATCATCAAACACGGTTAACTAGTCATGATACATTCTGTAGCCTTACCCTCTTTAGTGCTGCACAGACCAAATCTTTCAGTACAATTATAATAATTGTACAGAATTTAAAAAATACTTTTCTTATCTAATGTTAAGATGGGCATGTTTTCCTATACCTTGAAGGCAAACTGTCCAGAGTAATCATACATGCCACAGGACAGCATCAGGCTAAGGGTGTCACGGATACAGTAAGGCTCCAAGACCTTGACCCCAGTGATGGGACAGATGCCGCCATTAGCTAGTGTAGCAGCTATCACGGCTCCCGAGTCACATGTCACTTCTACAGAACATAGCTGGCAACAAGGTTAGAGGTTAAAGGTTAGAGGTATCTTAAGGTACAACATAGCTGGCAACAAGGTTAAAGGGTATCCTTAGGTACAACATAGCTGGCAACAAGGTTAAAGGGTATCCTTAGGTACAACATAGCTGGCAACAAGATTAAAGCTATCCTTAGGTACAACATAGCTGGCAACAAGATTAAAGCTATCCTTAGGTACAACATAGCTGGTAACAAGATTAAAAGCTATCCTTAGGTACAACATAGCTGGCAACAAGATTAAAGATATCCTTAGGTACAACATAGCTGGCAACAAGATTAAAGCTATCCTTAGGTACAACATAGCTGGTAACAAGATTAAAAGCTATCCTTAGGTACAACATAGCTGGCAACAAGATTAAAGCTATCCTTAGGTACAACATAGCTGGTAACAAGATTAAAAGCTATCCTTAGGTACAACATAGCTGGCAACAGGATTAAAAGGTATTCTTAGAATTAAGTGTTTTATTATCTACTTAATAGTATCATGTTCAGAAATGTAGTAGAAAATAATTATAAAAATAATACATCAATTACCTAATACATTTTTACTACAGAATATTTAACTCATGTCTTTACAAGTGTGTAACTATGACCGTCTGATATGTGTATTTACATACTGTTGTTTTTTTTAGAGATGGCAAAAGAAATATTTATCATATCAATAGGTACAAGTGGTTTAGTTACCTGGAAATAAAAATCTAGGAGTTCATGAAGATTTGTCCCTTTTGGGAAACACTGAGGACATTAAATGGAACAATTATCCACATGTTATTATAAAAGTCTTTTTAAAAAAATAACTCTTCTTATGTTTGTTTTATTACAGACATACACTTTAACCTAAAATTTAAAAAATATGATATTCTGTTTTACAGTGGAACTTGTTATAAACATTGTATGAAAGTTGATTAAAATTGTTTGAAACTTCATAAAGCACTTTTCATATCTGCTTTTTCATTAATTAGATTTTTTCAAGAAAGTTTTAAAAGGGATGCAGGGCCTACATGATAAGTTACAAACCTGTTTCTCTTTAAGATAATAGCCTATGGCAAAATTCCTATCAGCTGTTTGACGTTCAGACAGGAATCTGAAACAAGCATTTGTGTGTTGTATGTAACATTACTTTAATTGATTAAATGTACACAAAGATATCTACAAGCATACCTGTGGTTTGTGAACAATATAACAGTTGCTTGTGGTGGGATGAGAATTTCCAAGCAAACATTTAACCGCCATTTTTGTGAAAGTGAAACATTTTTAAGGAAACTTTTTTCAAACTCGAGAATGGCGTTAGTACAGTAGTTTGGGTCAGACAATGCTCACTGTCTATGGCTCTAATGCCTCACACAGCTTCCTACACTTCTATACAGCCATGATATAAATAACATTGACTTACATGGAGTTGTTGAACAACACAGTCTCATTGCCAGCCAGAAGTCTCAATCTCTGCTGGTTCTGGAACATATCAAGTCACAAGATAAAAACTTTTACAGACAATTGTGAAGCAAATATTGCTTGTTTGTAAGGTAATTTTAAACAGCAGGTGTAATGAGAGACTTATTTAGATGGAGAAAATAGTTTAAATCCGCAAGAGACAAATATTTTAAATCTACATCAGACGAAGACTAGTATGATGATTCAAATACTTGAAATTGTATTTATAAACAAGAAAAGGATATAATTAGGAATCATACACTATACAACTATATCTTAATTTAAAATGATGGAAAGAATTTAAAAAAAACAATTATAATTAGTGAAAATAGTTTAATATTTTTTTAACTGTGACAAAAATGTCTTAACAAACAACAACGTACATAATCAAATTTATCCGCAATGTTCATCCCTTGCTTCAGTAGTGAGCAGATAACTACAGCACCTGCATTCACCATAGGATTGTGTGGACGATCTACAATACAAGAAAAAAGTTAAATCAAGACCAATCAATACAGGCATAGGATTGTGTGGACGATCTACAATACAAGAAAAAGTTAATCCAAGACCAATCAATACAGGCATAGGATTGTGTGGACGATCTACAATACAAGAAAAAGTTAATCCAAGACCAATCAATACAGGCATAGGATTGTGTGGACGATCTACAATACAAGAAAAAAGTTAATCCAAGACCAATCAATACAGGCATAGGATTGTGTGGACGATCTACAATACAAGAAAAAGTTAATCCAAGACCAATCAATACAGGCATAGGATTGTGTGGACGATCTACAATACAAGAAAAAGTTATTCCAAGACCAATCAATACAGGCATAGGATTGTGTGGACGATCTACAATACAAGAAAAAGTTAATCCAAGACCAATCTTCTTTCTTCTTCTTCTTCGTTCTTAATTATTAGTGTTGGAGGGGATTGAGATTTATCTGCCAGTGGGTTTGAACTCGAGACTGTTCGAATGTATCAACCATGAGCTTTTTGCCGACTCGACCACGCCTCCAACACAATTAAGCGTTACGTGTCAACTGGTTTTGCGCCATTGAGGCCATTGACTCCGATTTCAGCCTGCTTTTCTTTTTGGATTTGCTTCCATAGCCTTTGTCCAACCAAGAACAAACTACAAGGCAGCAGTTGTTTAATTTTGGAGTTGTCTCTCCTAGAAGAGTGGCTGTCCCCAGCTGACGAGCCTCATCTGCCCGAGGGTTCGAACTCGAGACTTTTCGCTTTAGCAACCATGAGCTTTACCGACTCGACCACGCCGTCCCCTCAAGACCAACCAATCAATATAGGCAGAAGAAACTTGGCTTTGTGGTTGTGGTGTTAGGTCCAGACCCCTTAGTTAGGTCCAGTGTGTGGGCATGTCATGAGGTAAATGTCAGGGGCCATATCTCATGAGTTGTTTTTTTTTACACTTATGTAGGAGATATTACTTTTGATGGAAAGGTCTATAACGTTTTAATGTAAGCCTATTTTTTTTATTACTTCCCTTTATTTAAATACATTTAAATTATTAAGAAATATATCTTACTTTTTGGGTCTAAACCAATGGTGTTAAAAGCTTGACCACTGGGCTCTTGTCCAACATACTGGTGTACAGTGTCTGGCCCTAGTTCATCCAGCACCATTGCATAGGTCAACGGCTTACTTATAGATTGCAGGCAGATTGGGTCATGGGCATCTCCAATAGCATACCTGAAACAAGTTGAAAGTGTTTACATTGGTTAATCATAAATCATGGTAATAAATGTGCAAACATTAAATATGTGGTGTGGCAGGGTATATACGCTTGCTGGTTGATGCAGGGGGAAGGGGTTGACTTTAGATTATCTGGTTAATGTAGGAACAGGGTTGAGTTTGGATTAGCTGGTTAATTTTGGGGCTGGGGTTGGGTTTGGATTAACTTGTTAATGTAGGAGCAGTGTTGAGTTTGGATTATCTGGTTAATGTGGGGGCAGGGGTTAGGTTCGGACTAGGTAGTTGTTGTAAGGGTTAGCCTTGGACTAGCTGGTTAATGTTGGGGGCAGGGTTTGGCTTTGGACAAGCTGGTTGTTGTAAGGGTTTGCTTTGAGATTTGACCTTCATCTAGTTAAACAGTGTTGCTGTTGAGCTCTAGAACTGAGCAGCACCAACCTCTGTCCATCCACTGTACAGATGGCAAGCCCCCAGCTCTCTGGGTTAAACCTGGTTAACTGTGGTATGTAGCTGGCGAGCTGGGGAGGGAAAAAAACATTTGAAACACACAACTGCACAGAGCATGAGGTAAGTATTGGAAGTGTGATGGAATAGGCCTATAGAACTATTTCATAGAACTATAGAGCTATAGCAGAGAAGAAAAACTTAGCAGTATAACTCCTATAGTCAATTTAAATTTTACAAGAAATGCTTTTTTTAATTATATTTGTATAAACATAAAGTGAGTCTACCCCTATGTTTACACTTTGAACTTTATACTTCGTCATCAGTTGTCATTTGTTGTGAAGTGACACACTATGAATGTCATCTGTTGTGAAACAATACAATGAATGTCAATCCCAGCTGTCATTTGTTGTGAAGTGACACACTCTAAATATGAACAGCAGCTGTCATTTGTTGTGAAGTGAGTCACTCTAAATATTAACAACACCGCTCAGTACCAACTTACTTGCCCATTTGTGTTGGCCTTGGCTCTCCAGAAAATCTCATCAATCCTCTGTGTGAACTGAACAAACTCTGGAATAATGAATTGATTCCTGAAGGCCTTAGCTATCAGGATTATGTTGTCTGCTATACACCTAAAACATAGAGTCACATAGTTAATCCACCAATGACTAAGCGCTACCGTCACTTTTAAAATCATAAATATGTAAAGAACGTTAGCGCTAATAGGCCTATGGTGAATTAATTTTTATTATTATAACTTATATTATAGTTTACATAAATGTATTGGTACATTAGTTTCCTTTATATAAAAAAAACAAGGACAGAACAACATGTCTGGTCTGTATTTATGAATCTCAATGATGAAAGAAACACATCAAAATGATATATTACAGTATAATAACAAGAAAACAAACTAGCAACTTACTCTCTAAAAGTTTCTCTGTCAATATAAATGTTCTGAACAGAGTCGATGTCTATGATCTCTGACTGGATGTTGTTTAAATTCTGCATGGCTTCCTTCAGCCGTGGATCTGATTCCCTCAGCCCTGTGGTACGGAGAGCCTGCGGAGATTAAATATAAGCTGTTACTCAAGGGAAATGGGATACATGTGGTACAAATATAGCAGCAATACTTTGTTTCTAATACAACAGGCATGTAATTTTATAATGCCATAGGTTCATAGTACCAGTATAGCTTTTGTATCCCCCCCCCTCCACACACACACACAAAATTACTTCAGGAACTAATTAATAGGTGAAATTATATACTTTCTCTTTATTTTTAGATGAGAAGACATACTATGAAACAGTATATATCATAATGAACTAAAAACAAAATAAAAATACGTAATAAAATAAAACAAAATGTGAGAACCACTGTTTGAAAATGCCCCCAGTACAAGAGTAATAAAACTGTAGAGGACATTAAAAAAAGTTAGCAGCACTTGTACTTTATGTTAGAGTTCAGCGTGTTTTAGTCACTGCCGTGTGTGTAACCATACATTTATAAACATACCTATAGAAATACTTTAGTGTATATTATACATTTTAACCAGTAGTGTTACACTAAGAAAATCATTAAATGGTTATTTTTTGTCTCAAACTATGCCTTGGGGTGAAGCTGTCAAGTTGTCTTTAGCCTCAGCGACACTTCGTCCCAGCTGGTAGACAAATTTATGTTTGAGGTAATTTCCCCCATAATCAATTAGTAAATTCTGCGCCAATTACACGGTGATTTTAACTAATTACCCAGGTGTTAATTATCAAAATGGGGCTATCAGTGACAGACCCGTATTCTACCAAACCAGCTGATGGTGATCTGTGTAAAATCCATGGCTAGACACCTTGTACTGACAGTTAACTGTTAGTTACAAGCTAAGCTGAATTAGGTGTCTTTGATAAACTACATTACACTTTAGATTTTTTAATTAAAAGTATCCTACCCCCACCTTCTAGTCACACATGGTCCTCAAACTCAGCCCCCCCCCCTTCTTTTCACTCATCCCCCCCCCCCCCCACCCCCTTCTAACATGTCGTTATACTATACATCAGCCTACCACAGCACGCTCCTCAAAATTGCAATTATTGTTGTTTAAAAAAAAAACGATTTCTTTCCAAAATATGAACTAAGCTCAATCAACTTTGTTCATGGTTAAATCTGTATCTCCCCCCCCCCCCCCCCAAAAAAAAAACCCCTTTCAAAGAGTAACGTCGTCAACGGATAACCCATTAACACGAATGCTTTCCGGTAGTGTATGAGTTCAATAAGCATACGAATATTTGGAGAAAGAACCTACGATAATAGGGATATGATGAGATCGAATCCGCTAATATCATAAGACCTATAGAGCTAATAGAGTTTGACCAAGGCTGCTCAAGTGGGATGACCTAGGCTGCTCATGTGGGATGACCCTTAGTTGCGTGACCTAGGCTGCTCATGTGGGATGACCCTTAGTTGCGTGACCTAGGCTGCTCAAGTGAGATGACCCTTAGTTGCGTGACCTAGGCTGCTCAAGTGAGATGACCCTTAGTTGCGTGACCTAGGCTGCTCAAGTGAGATGACCGTTAGTTGCGTGACCTAGGCTGTTCATGTGGGATGACCCTTAGTTGCGTGACCTAGACTGCTCATGTGAGATGACCCTTAGTTGCGTGACCTAGGCTGCTCATGTGGGATGACCCTTAGTTGCGTGACCTAGACTGCTCAAGTGGGATGACCCTTAGTTGCGTGACCTAGGTCGCGAATATGGGGTTACCCAAACTGATAAAATACGGTGAGCTGAGCAGCTGATAGATCTATAAGGTGAACTTAATCTGTAGATACGCTGAAGAAATAAATCAAGGACATTGTCGCAACAACAGGGCCACAAACCCGCTGGTGTGACGACACCGTTACCCTGTTCTGTAAACCAGACACTGCATCAAGTAACATCACACACACAATGATTCAACATTCGAGACCTTCGAGTCAGTATGTTTTAACCCATTTCAATATCGTTTTTTGTTACAGTTCTAAAAAACAGTTTTTATTATAGGGAAAGGGGCCCTTTACGGCCTTTTAAAAACAACCTTTAAATAGTGAGGGGGGAGGGGTAAAAAAAAATTCCATGACAAGTCACATGATGCCAGCAAACTGTCTGGAGTTATCAACAGAAGTGTCACCTTACAGATTTAAACAGATACGGAACTCCCCCTCCCCTACCTCCCCCCTCGCGTGATGTGCAGGATCCCAGGCCTTGATCACGCTGGTTGCACAAAATCTACCGCTGCTAAAGAGGCGGAGAATATCAGACTACGGGTAGTCTTGTCATGTAGATATATAGACTCTATATGCTGACAGAGCGTATGCGTCATTTCCTTTTACAAGTAGGTGGTACTTAAAGGGCATTGTTCTTTTATCAGGCTGTTGTAAAGCACCCGTTGATACTAGTGTTACTTCAAGTATGCGGCATAGGTTGGGCATATGGTTAGTGCACAAAGGCACCGTGATAGAGATGTTACGAAAACAACAAAAAACATTCGGCAATAAACCTTATCAGTCGAGCTGTGTATGAACAAAATATGGGACGGTGTGGCCTAGCGGTAGAGCGCTAGAATGCTACGTCTCGAGTTCTAATCAGGGTTCAGGTCAGTAGAACGTCCAAGAGTCCACCCATGTCTGATGGGTACCTACTTAACTCACTTTAGGGAAAGTAAAGGCGGCTGGGCATAGTGCTCACCATCCTATCCCCCTTCATATGCCGAGGTAAGAGAAGCAGGTGAACTCTACTTCACTTACCCGGTTCGAAAAGTGAATATATATATATATATATATATATATATATATATATATATATATATATATATATATATATATATATTATATTTATGGTAATCTTTATATAACTAAGTAAATGTAGAAGAAAATGAGTGGTCAACCAGACCCAGACGGTAATTTAAGTAGACGCAATTTGTTCCCAACTGGCCTTTAACATTCTGCTTCACGGGTTGCCTGCGACCATAAAGGCCCGAGCTATAGCCGGAACCAGTCTTTGATATCACGAACTACGGTCTGACGCCCCGCGGCGCTGGTGTAGGCCGAGAATGTCCTTCAGCGTTTGACAGTGTCCTTTGTGCATAGCTGGAAGGGCACGCAAGAGGAGCCTGCAGCTTTGTGTGCACGGCGTCACGCTCCGCTGAAGGTTGCAATAAGCCGTGGTCACAGTAAACAGATCAAGAAGAATGGGGGACCTAATGACGTGCTTGACGCTGGTTACACTGGGAGTATGATACGACTTTTAAAAAACAGCGGGGAAGATATTTTCTACCTGTTAGAGAGGGCGTTGTTTATATAATGGTCTTTATAGTCGCATGCTGTGTTTATATTATGCACTGAATATTGGAAATCTTAGGATTTGCGATCTTCGAAATGGCGCAAAGCATTGAGCTGGGTTTAGCAGCCATGTCCATTCTAGTGACAACTAAAGAAGCGTTCTTACGTCAAATAAAACATTCATCATCAAAGTCACGACGATTGTGATGGGTTATTTGGGCAAATGAAGCGGTGAGCTCGATCATCAGCCACCTTTACTTTAAAGGGTCAGGTATGCATTAGCGATGGTCGGAATCGGGGTCTTGAGTCCTGGAACCGATGAATTTTAGGGAAAACATCGCATGCTAAATATGTCAGGCGTGTGACCTTGTTATAAGGGGACCATCGGAGCTTTAAACAAGCTCAGGCCATCAAGAGGACAATTTGAGCTCTTAATAAGCTCAGACTATCAGGTCTGGGGCTTATAAGAGGACAACTGGAGCTTTAAATAAGCTCAGACTATCAAGTCTGGGGCTTATAAGAGGACAACTGGAGCTTTAAATAAGCTCAGACTATCAAGTCTGGGCTTATAAAAGGACAACTGGAGCTTTAAATAAGCTCAGACTATCAAGTCTGGGGCTTATAAGAGGACAACTGGAGCTTTAAATAAGCTCAGACTATCAAGTCTGGGGCTTATAAGAGGACAACTGGAGCTTTAAATAAGCTCAGATCATCAGGGCTGAGAATATGGTGTCAGCTAATCAAATCCGTCTTCACGTGTAGAGTTGTAAGATAAATTGCTTAAGTTCCTACACTCGTCTCCTCACTAAACCCAAAAGCTCAACAATTAATACGTCCGACAGATTTACGTTTTCAACAATGCAAAGCAGTTTGCTAATCGCCTAACCCCGTTCATTAGCTTAGTGCTAAAAGGTCCTGCCCCAGCAATCCACACAAATTTTTTAAAATAGTGTTCTGGCTAATAGTGTGTGTGTGTGTTTTAATTCAAGTCCTTACAGTCGCCAAGAATATCACCTAAAACCTAGGCTTCTTTTATTACAATTTGATGGCATTGCCAGTGATTTATTTCGTACACAACTTTTGTGTAAGAAATGTGGTTTAAATATGACCTTGTCTTTGACTTTGTCAGGCCAGTAGAGATTGGTTGACCGATTTCTAAAGACACGTCGCAATAACAGATGGTAGACATGAGATTCTTTTAGTTGAAAATAGGTGGTACATCACAGAGGCGAAGCAATATAATCCCGTACATGAATGACGCTAAAGACTGAATTCCGTCACTCCTAACCTCGGTTTAAAAAACTACATCGTCATCCTTCAGCTAGTTCAGCAACCGATATCTTAATTTTTAAAAGCGGGAGTGAGCTCCCCTAATATTTTTTTTAAGAAATCGTGAGAAGAAAATATTATATATTGCTTTATGAGAATATGTAACAAAGGTATCACATTCTGAATGCTTCTGAGAAACCCTGATATACAGTTAGGTAGCAATTTTTTAAACTGGAAATGCTCCAAAAGTTGACAGAAACCTACATATAGAATACAAAATTTATAAATAAAATTGTGTCCATATGACTGAAAAGTTAAAAAGTTATCATCGTAACACTATACACACACAAGCACACGCACATAGGGACCAGACAGCAATACTAGGCGTATACTATTTCGATTTATTTCCCGATTTCAATATTTTCCCATATACTCCGTTTAACACGACAAATTAAAAATATTAAGGATAAAAAATGATATTTAG